TTAGTTCAGCACAGTAGTTAAAAGACCTGGACTCAAATCTTTGCTTTCCCACTTACTACACATGTGTCCCTAGGCTTCCATATCCTTATCTATAAAATAAGACAAATGACTATACCTATGAGAATGCATATAAGGCACACAGCCTAATCCCAGCACAGCGAAAGTATTCAAATATTAGCTCACATTCATAAACAGTTTCTGATATAAACAGGTTCTGATATAAAAATGAAAAGAAATGTTTGTAAAGTCAGAAGGGAAAGACCGTAGATCTTAGAGCGATCGAAATGATCTGTAATGCCCCTTTAATTCTTGGGTATCAAGGGTTCTTTGATTATGTGCACAGAGAATGAAAAGTAATTCAGGCTTTAGTGAACAAGAATTTAAAAAGAAAACTAAGCTCTAAATCCCACGCAATTGATAGGAAGGTCCAAAACTCACACTACCCTAGTTAACAGTTGGTACAACATTCATATAACAAACGATGAAAGAATTTCCATGCTGTTTTGGTGAAATGCAGTTTAGCAACATTACAGCAATTGTTACCGGTGCCCAGATACTCCATTTCCAGGGTGGGATGAACAAATTCCAAAATGTCTGTGAGACGCTAGCACTATCACTTGTTTTATATGGTGACAATCATAAAAGATTTCACAAATCATAAAACAGCTCATTATAGAAAGAAAAACTTGGAACTGAGCTATATACTATTCTAATCCTCCCCTCTTCAAAGAAGGCATTTTAAAACTGCAGTCTGTTTCAATAAGTAGATTGAACATATTATTAACCCAAATAGATTTTATCTAAGTTGACACTGTATTTAAATATCTATAAAAAATCCTTTGAAATAAAATCTGCTATATAAAATCACAAGAATTTCATCAAGGTTGTAGTGGGCATATTTCAACACTAAACAGTTCTAAGTGTAATCTGATGCTGTAAATAAGGAATTTAGGTGGAAAGATGAGTCATGTCTTTTATCAAACTGTCCAGGAAGTAACTCAGCCTTTTGACATATTCAGAGATCCCATTTAAAAAATTCTAATTTTCTCTAAATTATTTTCATATGACCATGATATATTTATATCAACAAATCCAGTTATAAAAACAACTTTTTACCCTTTTTATGTAAAAATCATCTCAGACTCAGAGAAAAGCTGTAAGAATACTACATAGAACATATTTTTTCTGAATAATTTACTGTCATTACATCCCATATACCCTAAATACTGTATTATTGTGTATTAGCTACAAATAAAGATATTTTCCTAAATAATCCCAATTTAACAATCAAGATTTAAAAATTAACGCTGATGTATTGCTACCATGTAACCTTCAGATCTCATTCAAGTTTTGCCAACCGTCCCATTAATGTCCTTTAGAGCAACAAGGTCAGGTTCAGGATCACACATTGCATTTTGTTTCCATGCTCTTTTGACCTGGAATAGTTCCTCACGATTTCCTTGTTTCTCATGATCTTGATACATTTGAAGATTACAGACCAATTATTATATAGACTGTGCCTCAATCTGGGTTTGTCTGATATACCTTTATGATTAGATTTAAGTTGTACATCCTTGGCACAAATATCCAAGGAGTGATATGGGTTTTTCCCACTGCATTCTGGAAGGCTGCACACAGTTCTGATTTGGCGGTAACTGATAATAACAACTCTGACGGCTTGATTAAGCTGGTTGTTGCCAGCCTTCTCCACTGTACAGTTACTTTTTCCTCTTTTAATTATTCTGTGTGGAGATACTTTGTGTGCTTATATGAACACCGCATTCCTTATCACTGGTTTTACTCACTGATATAATTAATTTTATTCATTTGCTTACACAATCATCAATTTATAGAATCCTGTTTTATTAAATGGGTCACAGTCTGTACCTGTGATTATTTATTTTGATGCCCAAATTGTCCTAGTTGTAGCCAGCGGGAGCCTTTTCAAGCTGGCTTCTCTGCCTTGCTGCCATGTTCCCATCTCCCTTCATGTACTTTCTTACTTTCTCATCTTAGGAAGCTCCAGGTTCATCCTAACGTTTTCTTGCTCCAGCTGTGGATTCCACTACATCTCCAAAGAGCCCTGGTCCCTACGTACGACTTCTTTTCTACAGACAAGAAGGGGTGGGCTCTTCTTTCACTTCTTTGGTCTTCCTAACTCAGGACAATCAGTTGATGAATTTCCAAAGGAAAGTGGTGAAATGATTTAAAACTGAGCACATTTATTTAATAACACTGGCAAAAAATACGATGCATCAAACTTTCCCGAGTCTCCACAATACTCTGCCCCTGTACTGATTTGAAACTGTAGTAAAAACTCTTTTGGCTGCTTCCCTTTCTCTGAATTCCATTAACTATATATTCCACTTGAATATGCTGTACTAAAAACTTTGATCCAAGTAATACAGTAGTTACTGTCCAAACTTTGAAAGTTTTCTGGCTGAAAGGATCCCTGACCATATTCCCAAGTGTTACATTAAAGATAAACAGTATGGGAAAGGTACTCCCAAGATTCTTCTCCAACTAATAGACAAAGTCATGGCTCATCTCCTTCAGTGTGAATGATGAAGCCGAGTCACTGGTGAAACACTTGCTTCCAAGGCCATTGTTTGGTACATTAACATGACCATAATTTTATATGTACAAAAGTAGTAAATCACTTCAAGGGAGTCATATGAGTACTTTCTCAGGAAAACCAGCAGGATAATCTAAGACTTGGCTTGACAGTGCACAAATCTGTGTTAGCAATACACTTTCTTCAAGTAATCAAACCGGGACTGGAACGTAATGGGGTTATATAAGGCTCTATTACAAGACATGAGAAAAGACCCACTGTTTTTAATCACTCACAATTATATATGCTGGTAAAATACAGTGAAGTATTTCACTGTCTGATAACCATGTCCAGGGGGATACAAAAGAAATATATTTGTACACCTTGCAACACTGACACACCTCTTCCTGTAACAGCACTAATGCGGCATAAAATTGTGAAGCAGGGACTTGCAAGGGGTTTTTGAACTAATTCTCCTCAAAACCCTCCTAGCAACATAGTAACTATTGGAGTGATTTTTACAAACAAAGAGGCTAAGGCTCTGACAGATATCCTGCCTGAGATAATATAGCTAGTGAAGGGCAGATCACATTCCAGCACAGATCTATAAGCTAGCACAAACTGAATTATTTGGACAATGTGGCATGAAAAGAACCAGAAGAAAAGGAACAGAAAGTGGAAATGAGAGCTAAAATGAGATACGTTTCGAATACAAGATTATTTAAAGGCAGAAAGGAGAGAAAAGAGAGCAAACGACGTGCTGAGGTCACAGAGAAAGGGACGAGACAGTGGTGGAGTGCGTGTGGCTGAGTCGCAGGGTATTAAACAGGAAAACCACTGGTTTCTCTCAGGTACTCTAGGGTATTATAGTGACATAAATTCAGTTTAGAAACAGTTTTCAAATTTGAAGAATTTCTTCCTATTTAGTATCTGCTTTCTCTTAGATATCAGAAAACTCCTAAGACAGTAAATTTAAGCATACGTTGAAAGGAAAAATACTTTGTTTCATGAAATTACATAAGGGAAACCTGTAACGAAGTAAGCTCAGACAGAAGCACCAACCTCAGTATTTTTATGTTTGTTTAACATAACTCTTTCACGGATTTCCTTGGGTTCTCAAGGATCTAAGTAAATCTCAATATGTAATCCAAGTACCTGAAAACTAGGACTGCACTAGCATTCAGGAAAGAACCAAATATCCCCCACAAACTAAGTGACAAAGTGATCAGTAAGGCCAAGCTAGGCTGGAGATGCGGGAGCGGTGGCGAGAGGGGAAAGCCCTGTGGGCCTAGTGGAGGTGTTAGAACCTGAGCCGGGCGAAGAGGGTGTTCACATGGGGGTACCAGTGGCCTGGCCTGGTAGTGAGGAGAGTATCTGTGGAGGAGGGCAGTCCAGTCTGGTGCAGGGTACTGGAGCACACATAGGATGAAGAGGGCATCCTCTAAAAAAAGCAGGACCTGGCTTCTGGTGAGGAGGGTGTCCTTGGGCAGGGGAAGACGTGGGAAGGATAAAGGGGGACATGCCTGGCACACGATGCCAGTGCATGAGCTCAGTAAAAAGGACTCTGTGAAGGGCAACGTGGCATGGGGTATCAGAGCCTGGATGAGGTAAAAAGGGTGTCAACACAGGGTGAGGTGCTGTGGTGGTGGCCTGGAGTTGGGTGATCAGAGCCTGAGTTGGGTGAGAAGGATGCCTGTGCAATGAAGGGGACGGTGACAAGTTTCGTTACATATAGGGAGACTGATCAAAGTAAGTAAATATATTAAGGATACTTGGAGCCAGATTTCTCATTGTCAGCAAAAGGAGAAAAACACAATGAACCCTGTATTACTGAATTAAAATGGAAAGTACCAGTGACAACTTACGGCTTTCAACATAGACGTATACATGTGATTAGGAATACAGGCGTAAACGTGCGGACGTGCATCTGCACATGTACGCACATGTGCGCGCACACGCACGAATGCATACAGCATCTGCTCCCCAGCTCCTTCCACTGAGAGGGTCTGGGAGCAGTGATAGTCCAATGACAATGAGCATTCCTAGGACCCAGCTCTTAATTTCTAACTACTATTCTGCAAAGCAAGGAAGCTGGATCAAAGTACAGGATGAGCACAGAACATCTTGTTACACGGAAGGACAGTATCAGGACAACACACGACACTTGAACAGGGTCTGAAGATTAGACGCAGTAACCGATCAGTGTCAACATCCTGATTCTGATGGTTGCATTACGGCTGCTATGAGAAACCTTGGTTTCTAAGAAACACACATTAAAGTACTGCAAGTGATGGGGCTATGAGTTAGCACCTTTCTCTCAAACAGTCAGTGGAAAAAATGTTCTTTGCATGCACATTTCTATAGTTTGAGAGTAACTGGATGAACAAATAATGGAAATGGGGAAGGAGAAAAGGCAGGAAGGTAGAGGGCAGGAAGAACCACTTACTGAGGTCTTCAGCCAGCTGAACTCGTTTGCCAGTGAGCAGTTTTACCTTCTTCTCGCTGTCTTCAGCAAAATCTTCCAATACCTCTTTCACATTTTTCTCTAATCGCCTGACTATTCAAAGTAAACAAAAACTTGAGGAGCTGTGTTTCTAATGAATGCACAAGGATGATAAAATTAGCAGTATTTGGAGGGTAAGTTCTTATTTTTCTCATCGAGTTTGATCTATTAAGTTCAAACTTCCCACAGTTACAGGGAGAATCTTTACTTATCATATAATACTTTTATCAGCATAAAACTAATACAATTCTCAGAGACGGTCATATTCTTAAGCCCTAACTCTTTAATGGAAGTGCAGGTTTCTCCCCCAAAAACTACGTGAAGCTTAGGAGTCCTTTTCTAACAGAATTTTTGTGTCATGAGGGGAGACTCTTGGTACGTTTTATCTCCCATCTTTCCCAATTATGATTTACTTTCACTCATATTTTCAGGGCAGATTTAATTTTCAATTGTTCTAATAAACCTATTTTTAAAGAAGTATCTTGGCATCATTCTATTAAATGAATATTACTACTATTATTTTTGCTGTCAAAGTTAGAAAGTGGTCCCTCTGTGGCTTACCTTCAGTGTTCGTAAGTTGCTGCCTCAAAGTATTTGCAGTGATGGCAAGCATGCGTTGTATTCGCCAGAACAGGACAACATCATTGCATTCCAACTAAAATATTAGGTCAGTAAGATTACCAGATGCAAATTTAAAAGTGAAAACCATGATCACAAACACATACGACTGACTACTAAAGTTAATACCTATACCCTAAGCTTTAACAAAAAACCTCAGATTTATCTAATACACGTACTCCTATCGCAGATAGAAGCCACCAAATCATTTCTGCTCAGGGTTCACGAACTTCCACGTGATTTGCATTCAATTTACCTCACTCCTATATAGCTTTGTTTTGATTCCGAGGACAAAGCAAATGAATCTGGGAAGTAGAGAATTTCATGACATTATATACAAGTGGAAATTCACAGCATATACCCTTAATTTGTATTTAGTTTCAGCTAACAACCATGTTAGCTTAAATATGTCCTTAGGTTAACCTCTTTTCTTCAAGCATGCATGCAAGCCAGTTCTGAAATGCAGCTTGTAGATAAAAATAAATTAATGATATGCTTCAAAAAGAGCTTATTCTGTAGAGAGGTCTTCTCAACGATTAAATTACGCAAAACACTTGCCATTTTTTACATAGGTATAGTTACATACAAATTTCCTTTAAGCTGTAGAAAACTCAAAAGCATTTTAGGGGCCTTTGATCACTAATTAATAGAGTTCTTTCAGAGCACTTCTACTTACAAGAAAATGCTCAAAATACATCAGTCTGCTGCCACCTAGCGGTTACTTTGTGAAACATGACATTACACTGTACAACTTCATACACTTCTTTCAAAGAATTATTTAAAGATTTTGGTGATATAAAGAAATACAATATAGGAAAAAGCACAATAAAAGCTGTTTTTTCAGGATGATGTCCACTATGCAAATGGATTATGTTATACACATGCACACAACTATAAAGATTAACAGACATATAAAAATGTTAACTAAAATTACTTCTAGGTCAGGGGATTATAAGTGACTTATTCCTTAATAAGGAATATTAGTAAGTGACTATTTCCCTTTGCAATTTTCTTTTACATTTCTTTACTGTATTTCCACAACAAGAATGTGTTATTTTCTAATACAAAAAAGTTAATTCTTAAAAAAAAAAAAATTAACTGGGTTAGTGCCTGTTCTCTGCACACAAAATCTTATTGTGTGTAAAATATAAAGTGGTAAAAACCTTAGAAAAGATAGGAGTTAGGTTATTCTTCAGACATAAATCATATATACTTTTTCCCAGCAGATCAAAAGACTTAAAACTAATGCTAAAGCTATAGTTAACTTTCAAGCATCCAAACAACCATCACTAAAAGCATTTTCCCTGGTTTTTAGACACTTTACCTCAGAATCTACAAAATGCCTTTGGTAGTAGTAAAAGCCTCTTCGACAAAGGTTACAATGGTTTAGAGCTGTTTTCAAGAAATGTCTTCTATAAACTTGGTGCCAAGTATCTTTAATCTAAAATGAAGGAAGAAAACAAAACCAAAGAGTTACTGTACACTCCCCTCAGGTTGACCAAACACATTCTGAAAAGTCATCCACGAAGTTTATTTATAAAAAAGTTAATTAAAACTAGTGGCAGTGTTATTCTACCAATCATTTTTACCCATTAAGAAAAAAATTTTTTTAAGACAAAAGATTAGATTTACCACTACTCTGACCCCTTACCAGTTTATATACTTCCAAATATGTAGTGTTTTTAACAACTGTTGTTATTACATTCAAATAATCATTCTGTAGAGTAGATAGGGTTGGGATTATTACCGCCCCTAGTTAGAGGTAAGGGGCCCCAAGGAAAAAGAGGTTGTGAGCCTTATCTAAGGACAGAGTCAGGACTAGGAAGCTGGTCTCAGACCATCAACCCAACAGTTATTTCCTTTCTGATCACTACATCTTGCTGTTACCATAGCAAAATGACTCCTGCCGTGTCATTATTACGTAGTTTGTCAAAGTGTTCAAGGTTCTTGCAAGCGTCTTTTCTAAGTAGACCAGTAATAATCATACACAGGTACAACCAGTACAATCAACGCTATGTAACACAGAGGAAAGTGGAAGCTCAGAGATGATGTCAGTATTACTAGCGAATGGGATGGAACTGCGCTAGAATTCACATCTCTGACAGTAGTCCATCTGCTATGTTTGTCATAATTATCTTGTTATCTATTTTATAGCTTCATCAAGTGCACTGGAAGAACAAAATGTCTCTTGGAAAAAGGGCTGAGATTTTCTTGCTCAGAGAAAGTCAATATATACAGCCAATCCATATCCTAATTTGCAGGCAAAGTCCAAGGATGGATAAATTAAATTCATATTCAACTAATAATTTCATGTAATCATTAGTTTTAATTTCATTTCCTATTTACAAATAATGCTACATGTAACAGCTTTAACTTGCTTTGAGTTTTACCAGTTTTCTTGTTCTGACCTCCTGGGGAATTTAAATTAAATATACTCATTTCTCAAGTGCAAAAATATAAATAGTACATAATCTTTAAAAGAACTTCTGTGTGGCTCTGAAACTTCTTTTATGATTGTTTTCCCTCTTAGAATTATTTTTCTAATTGGGTTTCACTAAGTTAACTTAAGCTAATATTAAAATAAGGTTTTATTTTTATTTTTTAATTTTTTTTAACATTTATTTATTTTTGAGAAACAGTGAGACAAAGCGTGAGCGGGGGAGGGGCAGAGAGAGAAGGAGACACAGAATCTGAAGCAGGCTCCAGGCCCTGAGCAAGAGGTCAGCACAGAGCCTGATGCGGGTCTCGAACCCACAAACTGTGAGATCGTGACGTGAGCCAAAGTTGGACGCTCAATTGACTGAGCCACCCAGGCGCCCCTTAAAATGAGGTTTTAATCCCTTACACTCTAACTGGGGTACATAGGCCCAGAAACAGTTATTTTTTTCAAATCTTCCCCAAATAAGCATCATGAAGATAAGCAAAACATAGTCTGTAATTATTTTTATTCTCATATTTATTATGATGATGTGAGGAAAATGAGATAGAACCCCAAGGCACTACTCAATTTAATACAAACTTAACATTCACATTTTTTCTAAATCCACTCATACCTGATTAAGGCACTTTTTTTTTTTTTTTTAATTTTATTTTTTCAACGTTTATTTATTTTTGGGACAGAGAGAGACAGAGCATGAATGGGGGAGGGGCAGAGAGAGAGGGAGACACAGAATCGGAAACAGGCTCCAGGCTCTGAGCCATCAGCCCAGAGCCTGACGCGGGGCTCGAACTCACGGACCGCGAGATCGTGACCTGGCTGAAGTCGGACGCTTAACCGACTGCGCCACCCAGGTGCCCCTTTTTTGTTTTTAATTTTTTAAGAGAGAGAGCGAGTGAGCAGCAGAGGGGCAGAGACAGAGAGAGAAAAAATCTCAATCAGGCTCCACACTCAGCGTGGAGCCTGACATGGGGCTTGATCCCACCACGCTGGGATCATGACCAGAGCTGAAATCAAGAGTCAGACACTCAACCGACTGAGCCACCCAGCGTCCCTGATTAAAGGTACATTTGACAGAGAAAACATACATATATATATATATATATATATATATATATATATATATATAAATGAAACACACTGAAGCAGAACTTCTATTTTGCAATCTGAAACAGCGTAACGTTGTGCAGAGATGTGACTGGGCTTCACCTCCTTTTACAAGAGCTAACTGCTGAACATGCCCAGGTACTTCACTTTTCCAAGTCTCAAACTCCTCATTACAAATTAAAGTATTACCCGTAAGAAAACACCACCAAGAATAAATCTCTACTCTGTACACAACCAAAGTGACTGTTTTTACTGTCAGCAAAAGTACACGTGACCCAAGTCAGGTCAAGCACTTCTATATCCGAGTAACATGTGAGAAGTAGCAACATTTTACCGCAAGAACAAAGATTAAGGAAGTAAGTTCAGGCTTTTCCGCAATATTTATTACCAAGCTTGGGTCCACTTCTACCCCTCGGGATTCCAGGTTCTTTCGCACTGTGGTTATCTCATCGCTTGCGAGATATGCCGGGTGCTCCTCGTTACACTTCAACATCTTCTCCAATTCGTTCTTGGTTTCGTTGTGGACAAACTTGGAAATTGTTTAAAAGAGAATTCTGCTTTAGATGGTTCATGATTTGCCACACTTATAAAAACAGAGCCCTGATTTTAGTTAAGTACACTGCTCCTACACAATAGGTGACCAGCCCCACACAGAAAACAAGAAAGAACACAGTCCCCAGCTTAGGATACAGGACAATGGCTCTGGGAAGCAGAATAAACTGGACTTATATGAGGAGAAAGAAACAAACAAGAAATTAGCCACATTTGTTATATATTTTGCTTTTGATGAAATGGTTTATTGTCGAAGCTACAGCACCAGGTAGCTTACTGTATACTTTCTTGACCTTAGAGTAGGATATCAGTCTAGGAAAGAGTACCCTGAATATATGGGAAGAGATAATGTTCTAATAAATGCCTCATATCTAAGAACTAGACGGCTGTAAGAACTTGCACCTGCTGATAGGCTTCTTTTCTGATAAATATGAAATTCATAGTTGGGATTTAAAAAAAAAGATTTCTAATAAAAATTGTGCTTTAAACTGCTTCTGCAAGGTGCTTATCATTCCTTTTCTTTTAAATTTATTTTTAAATAATCTTTAAACCCAACATGGGGCTCAAACTCACAACCCCAAGATCAAGGGTAGCACACTCTATAGTTTGAGCCAGCCAGGAGCCCGAAGGTGTCAATCGTTTTTATTATTTATATTTTTTAAATGTTTATTTATTTTGAGAGAGGGAGACAGAGCACAAGTAGCAGAGGGGCAGAGAGAAGGAGACAAACAATCCCCAACAGGCCCCGTGCTGCCAGAGCAGAGCTCAACGCGGGGCTCGAACCCATAAACCGCGAGATCACGACCTGAGCCAAAACCAAGAGTCAGTTGCTCTGTCGAGCCACCCAGGTGCCCCGATGCCTATCATTTTTAAATGTACCTCCAATCTCTTCTTTATAACTGTTCATAATCTGAGGACCAAAGGAGGAAAACATATACTAGTGATAAATTTGAAAGTAAGACTTTTATACAGTGCCAAATTATGTTTATCTTTCCTTTTTCAATCTTTCCAAAACTGCATGATAAAAGAAGCTAGCTTCAAATTCACTGATTACTCTAAACAAGTTACTACCACAGCACTCTGCCCCAAACTGTAGCAAGCTACAGTATCTGAGTACTTCAAGAATAAAATGTAAATGTAAATAACTGGTTTATAAATGAAACTACTAATTAATATTCTCTGAAAACATGATACTTTAGAAAAACTATTACTTAATGAAGAGAAATTTCACATTTTCCTTAAACATCTGCTCTTGGTCTGAGGTAAGAAGGAAATCTTTTTTTTTTTAATTAAAAAAAATTTTAATATTTACTTGAGAGAGAGAGAGAGAGAGACAGAGAGAGCAGGGGAGGGACAGAGAGACAGAAGGAGACACAGAATCCAAAGCAGACTCCAAGCTCTGAGCTGTCAGCACAGAGCCCGACACGGAGCTCGAATTCATGGACTGCAAAATCATGACCTGAGCCAATGTCAGCTGCTTAACTGACAGAGCCACCCAGGCGCCCCATAAATCTTTAATTTAGATGATACTCCCCGACTCTTCTTGTCCTGTTTTTACTTCTATCTGTCCACCTGTCCCCACCACCCTGGCTGTTCAGAACACTACTCTCCCATGTATCCTGACCAAGATCTCCACAGTTCAGTTCAGACAAGGTGAGAATGTTCCAAAGGAATGGATTTTTCCCTAGAAAACTAAGGAAAAAGTAACAACATAAAAGCAAAAAGTAGTTTTCAGAGCACAGACTTCTCATTTTTAACGTAGGACAGTCTTAAATTTCTTTTCCTGCTTAATCAATCACTCAAAAAGACAGAAGGAACACAGTCACCTAAACTTGCAGTGTGAGATGTGGGGACAGTCTCACCCTCTTCCATAATCTGTTTCTCATGGTAACCTCCAGGAATGAGATCTACAACAGTGGTTTTCAACTGGGAGCAAGAGGGGTAGAAAGGTTAGAGAATAAGAACTTGATTCAGTAGGTCTGACAGGAGGCTTTCTTTTGAAATAGAAAATGAAACACACACATACAAACACCTCCCAAGGCAGTCCTGATGTCCCTCTCCCTACACTCCAAATTATGGCTTCGTTCTACAGTCTGGGTCTTACGTATGCTGCCCTGAAACCCTGAAAGGAAAAGGGTCTTCTCTGAAGGGTTTCCATATTCCTCTCCTAGGCCACGGATCCTCCCATTAATCTTAAAACTTAATTTTCCACTTCCCTTGCAGGGACCCCCTACAGGTTCAAATTCCTGAGAAAATAGTTTACAACTAGGAATTATTTCTCTCTGAGAGCATCTGGCCACTAGTTGCTGAGGCAAGGTGCCAACATCGATTACTGTGGAGACTTTAGCCTAATTTCCCTAAACCCTGATGGGTGGACACCATTTTCCTTCCAGGTTTACCTGCCTCACACCAGTTCTTTTCAATCATTGCTTCTTCCAGTCTTAAAGTCAGATCACGTTAGAGTCTCATGGCTCTCCTAGAAATTCTTTTCTGATAGACCTCCTCCTTTTAGCCCATGTGTCGAGAGAGATAATTGATGCTCCCTGAAGACAGATGTGATCCAACCGCTAACCCTGTCTACCTCCTCAGGTTCTCTCCACAAAAATCCTATCAGAAAAAAGAGAAGAGGAAGACTGTTCCTTCCCTTTTTTATTTATTTATTTTATTTTTTTAATTTTTTAATTTTTTTAAAATGTTTATTTATTTTTGAGACAGAGAGAAACAGAGCATGAACGGGGGAGGAGCAGAGAGAGAGAGGGAGACACAGAATCCGAAGCAGGCTCCAGGCTCTGAGCTGTCAGCACAGAGCCCGACGCGGGGCTCGAACTCACGGACCATGAGATCGTGACCTGAGCCGAAGTCGGACACTCAACCGACTGAGCCACCCAGGCGCCCCTCCTTCCCTTTTTTAAAGACAAATTGGGACTAATATCTGACAGACAGCTTATCGAAAAAAAAAAAAAAAAAGTTGATTATATAACTTAATTCTGTATTTAAGATGAAAACAAAACAATAAATAAATAAGGAAACAGGGAAACAAGAATGATATGTCATTTGGCAATTTTCCATTCTCTTTATCTTCTCTCTTGATATTTCTGTATCTTGCTCTCCTTTCTCTAATTACATGGATTCGGACTGAAAAGAGGACTGGATGCCACCTCTTTTTCTTAGTCATTACTACTTTCACTTGTGCATTTTGATTTTTATATCCTGTTTTCACTCTTTGATTTAAGTAATGAATGTAAGAATGAGATGTGGTGTATGACTAAATGCTAGATAGGAAGAGGAGCCATAACAATAAGGAATAAAAAGAAGGTAAGGGATGGGAATTTGAATGATTCATACATCCTCCCTCTACTCATTTGTCAATTTATTTATACTTGCCTTTACCATTTTGTTCTTCCGAAGTGCTCATTAAATATTTATGGAATAAATAAATTCTGTAATTCTAGTTCCTGTCTGAATTTTTATACCTATTTTGGGAATACAACAGCAAAAAATGCAAAAGAACAAAATAATCTGAATAGACAACAGAAAAATCCAGAAGTAACAGATGAGGTAAACAAAGTCACTGTATCTTTCATTCTGATTACATTTACTCTACATCCTCTGAAATTCGTGTCATTTTTTTATTTTTGTTTATAACTTCAACCTTCATTTTACCTCAAACAAGGAACTGAAATGAACAAAGTAATCAACCACAAAAGGAGCATGGTTCATTTCCTATTTTAGTAACATAGCTACTGCATTTGAAAAAAACAACTTGCTTTTATAGCTTACTATTTATTCTAAAATTTCATTATATTGTAGAAAGGCTGATATAAAACATTTGAAATTATTAAGATTGGTCTAGAAGGCATGCAAAAGTGGTATTTTAATGCTTGAATTAAAATAATCAAAATTATATCATAAGACCAGAGATTTGTTTTTTTACCTGTTCTTGGGTCCGGTTCTTCCAGTATAACCATCTCTTTTTCCAATCTGGACCTATCATGTTTTCAATTGCATTTTCAGCTGCAAAATTAAAAAAAAACTTTTTAAAAATTCATCAAAAATTTTATCATTTACCAAGTACATAGATTATAACTAATATTAAATAGTTTTATTTTATTAACTATTTCAAAGTGCTATATCAATATAAAGTCAGCTGAAATAAAGACAAAAAAATTACATGACTGATATGGTACATGTAGAAGAAAGGATTTAATTATATATGTTTATAATCTGCGCAAGGTACAATTGGTATTGCAAGGTATACCGTTTCCATAGGTATAGAGGCAAACACTAAAATGGTCTTATAGTTTTTTCAGAATAGGAGTACATATGAACGTATGTCCAATTTATTTAATATTTTCCCTAGTTACTAAGCCATTGACTGAAAAATCCCACAAAAAAATTTAACTATGTTATTAATGACAAAGCTATGAAAAGTTACTTTTTTTTTTTTAAACTTTATTTTACAAACATTCATCAAGTTGGATGGCCCCCCCCCCCCCGCTTCACCACTGCGAATACTCACAACTCAACCCATGTCCTACTTACTGTCCTTGAGGCGAGCCTGAAGAGCTTCTTCCATAAAATAAATAGCGGCATCCCACTGTTGTTTATCAGATATGGAACGGTCTTCTAAAGCATTGTGCTGGATAACCCTCTGAAATAACAGGGAAAGAAAAACAGCCAATTTTGATCTATCTAGGCCTTATAATCTTAGTAACTGTATTCAAATTGACAGCTTATCAAACATCCAAAAGAACAGATGTGCCTAAAACAACATAAAAGTATGCCCCTTCCATGCAAATTCAGGTCTTATTACCTGCCCACTTGTCAGCTTTCTTCCCCAAAAAATAAACAGTGAAGACTTCTTCCTATCCCAAATTGAGTAAGCTATGTCTAAGATCGAGAGAGGTATGTTACACATGTAACCACATAAAATCTGCACCTAGAACCCTAGTAACTCAGGAGTTAATGATTCAGATCATCGCTACCTCTCCTTTTTGCCATATGATCTGTGTTAGCATTTCCAAAAAAACGAGAAAAACAACCATTGTCTCACCGTTAACACCAATGAAAAGTGTAAAGGAGGAAAGCTTAAAAGGTCTAGACAATCATAAGCAAATGTGAGTTCTTCATTATAAGAAAACTGATCTCTAAATTTTATAATTATTGAATGAATCATGAAAAAGGACACTATTCTCTCAGGAAGCTAGTCTTATAAGGCATTTAACAAGAACGAACATAGCTTTCAAACATGAAAACAAACACTTATTCTAAAATAAATTACAATTATGACCAGCCCACAGTGCGATATGCATTATCCTGGAAAACTGTTCAATCTTTCAACAGTTCTCCTCAGAACTGCCTGGGAAGAGAGCAGGTGCTTAACCAGGTTTGATTATGGTGATGGAACGTTCTACGTAACAAAAGATCTGCTGGAGGTGGTTGGATTTGGTGAAGGTCAGGAGTCAGGCTTTGTAGCAGAGTCAGGGCTTGGGTCTGAGTTTTGCCAAGGACAATAATAAGGCTGCTTAAGAACTAAATAAAATCTGCTTACAAAATACACTGTAGAGTTTCAGGCACCTTGCAAGCATTCAACATGTGGCAGTTAGCATTATTTTAGAAGTCTAACATTGTATGACTCAAATCCACTGAAAACCAATGCATCTAATTCCTTTTATTACCACGAAGGGTAAAATGAGAAGCAGCTATCTGAGCCATCTGTAGATCAGGTCCATGTAATGGCTAGTGGACAACAATTTGTGGAAGTTAATAGAAGCCTCTTTACCGCGAAGTTTGACTTTTTTTTCTGAAATGCTAACCAAGAAAAGAAATAGCAGAGAAATGTTAAAGAGCTAATTACAGATGGTTAAACTATTTCTTTCCCCTCATTATTTTAAATTCAGAACCTAATTGAAATGGCCATATAAAAACAGCTTCCTACAAAAAGATACCAATTTGAGAAATTATATAAAAGCATGAGGCCGACACCTTAACATACAAATGACATACCAAGCTGTCCTCCGCAAAATCATTCCACTTGTGGCGCTTAATACTTTCTTCCTTAACAGCCTCTTTAAGTTTATCAAATATGTCATCATGCTCTTTCCCTTTTGGTTCTGTCATGAAGCGGGAAAATTCTTCTTGTAGGGTCTCCCAAGCAACCTAGGTTTAAAAGAAAAAAAGCTGTATTCACAGTACATACTTATATTTAATATGTAACATGACAAACATGTGAATTAAAGCCAAACAGATGAAATAAGCTTATCACAAAGTACATATGAAACCACTTTTTTTTTTTTTAAAGGCCGCATACATAAACACTGGCCTAGAGATCTCACACTGATAGCTAGTGGGGTAGATTTGGCGTCCTGACATGTTTTGCTAGACCTACATGGTGTTTTAAATTTTAACAAACAGAGCCAACATTAAAAAGAGAGAGACTTCATATAAAAATCTGTGTTTCCAGCCTCTCTTGAACTATCCGGCAGCACTGTACCCACATTCCTACATAACACTAGCTGGAGCTGAAAAGAAATTGCCCCCTTGACTTAAGGTCTGTACTCCAATCAGCCCCCAGACTTAGTTCACTAATTTATTTCCTTCTGTACAAGAGGTGAGTCTGCCTGCTTCTTTCATTCTGCAGAAAGTTTAAAATTTCATAACGATTTAGTCTTCTTCACATGTTTGCCTTTATGCAAATATATGAAGCAAAGCATCAATACCTTCAAACAGAACCCAGCAGCATTCAGGCTCTATCACAGCTAACTCCTAATTACCTGGAAGGAAGAGCCCAGTGCCAGAAGTAACGAAGAACTAAATCTACTTATGATTAAGTGGGCTGGTTAATGCTGTGTTTTTTATTTAGCCCTGGTCCTTTCAAACATGAAGAAATCACAGCATAAAAAAGATGGCTGTTCAAGAATATCCAGTGAGGTATTAGAATCTATGTTTCCTGACCTTTGGCAGATCCTCATGTCTCCGCCACACCCAGGTGAGAAGGGAGAAGGCGGCAGGAGATAGAATGACCACTTCCACGGCCGAGCCTTAGGATGTGAAAATATCCTACTGTGGGACCGGGGCTGCACAGATGTTTTTAGGCAGGTTGTGAGGAGAGCTGGTGAGTGATGGCAGCAGCTCTCTAGCTATTTCAGGGGTAAATGTGTGGAGAACTGACAGGGGTCAGCAGTATGCAGCTTCAGCAGAGCAGCTGCCAGCTCTCAGAAAGAGAAGCTGGAAGAAACTGAGAAAACAGGTGCGGTCAGAGCTGAAGCAGGACAGGAGAGGGGGGAATGACGCCCAAATAATTAGAAGCTGACAAGGTAAGTATGAAAAATGAAATTATCTTTGACACTGACTCTCATTTTGTGAGCAACCTCACAAAGAGGCACAGGACACACCGCGTCTTACTGAGCGAGCGCAATCATTCTTCAGACTAATACACGTGGCAGATCAGCTCAGGGGATGCTCATCATCACAGTAACAGCAGCTGGCATTTACTGCGCAGTTACCGTGGGCCAGGTGTGTCTAAGTATTTTATGTATTACGCACATTTATTCCTTATAACAATCTGCGAGGTGGGCAACATCATCATCCCTATTGTACAAGTAAACAGAAAGGTTAAGCACCTGGAGTCCAAAGACCACCCAACTACTACGTGGTATAGCCATTGTGTAACAGATAAGCATTCTTTAAGGGACTTTCTTATAATTCTTGGTCTAATGTTCTGGCAGGATCCTAACTAAGGAAATGATTATTTAAGTGCAACTGAGCCCAGCAGAAAATCAATAGGTGAAATAGTTCAACCATTAAACATTTTTCTTATGGGATCCTTATTCGCAGAAAAAGTTAAAAACAGTTCACAGTTAAGCAAATTTTGCTGGTTTTGTTAAATGCTATCTTTGGAACAGGACCAATGCCCTCGGACCAACAAAATGCCAATCAGTAAATTTTTATAGCGGTAGTAACTGGTAATAGGATTAAGGCTGACCCCAACACAGAGATAAGGAATAGAGAATAAATGGAGCCTAAAGACTAAAAGGAGAAAAAGTGGCTGTGATGGGAATAAAACCTAAAATTCACGGCTCCTACTCCCTTCACATAATGCTTCTTACCCATTTAATTAAATTATATCCTAACCTCTACTGCTTTATTAGGAAGCTGTTTATCAGTCCACTGTTTAAGCTTGATGTCCACTGTTGTATTAAAAGTCCCTGAATTCATGGTCTGTGCAGCTGGAAGATAGATGTTTTCAATCACATGAGTTGATACTCTTTCCCACAAAGACTGCTGAAGGATTTCCTCCCTGAAATTAGACAAAACAAGTTTCAAGAACATCAAATTTAAATATTATATTGTTTTTAAAAACAGCTGCATTGAAGTATCATATTTACAGTGCTGACATATGAACAAACCTGTGTATCACCGCAATCAAGAGAACCAACCTATCCATCATCTTCAAAAGTTCTAGCCGCTGGATCTGCTTTCAGTTACTAGAGGTTGGCTTATATTTTCTAGAATTGTGTATAACTGCAACCATACAGTATATACTCTTATTTTTGTCTGTCTTCTTTCACTCGGCAAAACCATTTTGAGATTTCTCCATATTGTTGTATGTATCAATGTTTCACTCCTTTTTTTAAAAATTATTTTTAAGTCTATTTATTTGAGAGAGAGCGATTGCGAGTGGGAGAAGAGAAGAGAGAGGGAGAGAAAGAACGGGAAGCAGGCTCCATGCATTGTGAGTGCGGAGCCCAATGTGGGGCTCGATCTCACGAACCATGAGATCATGACCTGAGCTGAAATGAAGAGTCTGCCACTTAACTGATGAGCCATTCAGGCGCCCCTGTCTCACTCCTTTTTATTGCTGAGTAGTATTCCACTGCATGGATCTGTTTACATATTTAGCTGCTATTGGACATCTGGGTTGTTTCCCACCGTTAGTTCTTCCAAATGAAGCCGTAATGAGCTTTCACATGCAAGTCTTTATGGACACATACTTTTGCTTCTCTCGGGCAAAATATCTAGGATTGGAAGAGCTGGATCATTTGGTAGCTACATAGTTAACTTTTTATGATACTGCCAAACTGTCCAAATGGGTGAACTATTTTACATTCCCACCAGCACAGTATGAGAGTTCTAGATGCTCTGCTTCTTGCCAACATTTGATATGGTTAGTCATTCTGACAGGTTTACGGTGGTATCTCATTGCAGTTTCGTTTGCATTTCCCTAATGGCGACTACTTTTAAGCATCTTTTCCTGTGCTTATTTGCCTATACAGACTTTTTATGTATTGACTGAAAAGTGCAGTCCAAGACTGAGAATTTCTAGGTATAATTTTAACAATTTATCAGACCACAGCACAGAGCACAGAGATGTTATGGGATATTGCTAGGTAAAACTGGTCAACACATCATGATAAAGGCAACACTATAAAGGATGCATAATCAAGTTGAGCATCCTGCCTTAAAAAGTACCTTACGGGGCGCCTGGGTGGCGCAGTCGGTTAAGCGTCCGACTTCAGCCAGGTCACGATCTCGCGGTCTGTGAGTTCGAGCCCCGCGTCAGGCTCTGGGCTGATGGCTCAGAGCCTGGAGCCTGTTTCCGATTCTGTGTCTCCCTCTCTCTCTGCCCCTCCCCCGTTCATGCTCTGTCTCTCTCTGTCCCAAAAATAAATAAACGTTGAAAAAAAAAAATTTAAAAGTACCTTACAAGACCACAGATCTCTAAGCAAGAAAAAAACAACTATTTCAATGAAGAAAAAAACTGAACTCTCAAGAAAATATGTATCTGGCTTCTCCCAAACTAATTTCTACTGCGAGATAATACGACAACATACAAAAAACATTCTGCTTACCAAAAGCGGTCAGCAACCTCAACCGTCTACAACAGCCATTTTTGTAGCAGCAACATCCCGGCTGTCCAGAAGCCAAGATGCAATTTTCTTAGTTGAGGAGCGCCAACACTCCCTCCCATCCAAGACTGCTCATACTCACTGAACATTTTTTGTAAAGTCAAGTGTACTGAGTCAATCGGCTTAGCTGCTAGTTTCCCCTTGCTAACTTTCAGGTCTTTTTTTGGGTTACAAGCAGAAAACAAAAGAAAGAGTGTGAGGAGAGGACACACCACATAGGACCAGAAGGACAAAGTCAATTTAGTCATGGTGTTAATGACACATAATGATAGGTGGAAAATTTTAGGAGCAGGCTGGAAGAAAAAAAGCTTGTCAGTGCCTCCTATTTGGATAAAATTTTAAACACAAACCCAAGATTTCTGAAAGATAAGCAAAAAACCAGGATCCAGCCTCTGACCACCAGGGCTTTTTGCCACTCCTGCGTCAGAAAAGACTTGGTCTGTTACCTCCTCCCAGGGGTCTATGGGGGAGGAACTGACATTCCAGACACCCTTTCGAGGAGATAATAACAAAATCCCAGACCACCAAATCCTGATGAGCTTAGGTAATGTTCGCAAAGGAGGCTGTTTTCCAGTCCACCACAGGGAGCTCCTGTCACCCATCCTCACCTGCCCTTTCGTCACCAAGCTGCTGTCCTCTGTCCAGACTCCCCCTGCTCCTCTCCCTCATAATCATGTTTATTGTGCCCCCAATACTCTGTTCCATAACAAACAAACCGCTTTACATTCCCACTCTTTCCCCATTCCATATATCCTCAGACCTTTCCTGGCTCTCCCTTCCAAACAGTGACTGTCCTCACATCCTGTTGACTGGAAGGTGCTGAGTTAGGGAGTGGAAGCCAGGTTCCCCTCACTCCAAAATCTCTCCCCGGACAAGAGTCCTCAGCTCTCGTGTAAACTCCAGTGCTGTGAGGCCAGTTTACACCGTCTGCTACCCTGACTTGAGCCCTTGTTTACGTTTCCTAGCATGTTTTAGATGATGGTAGACTTCTCTATTCTAAATTTTGCCATCATCTAGGGAAAAGTCCATAAACACACAAAATTCAGTTAACATTATAGTTCTGCTCATTCACCTCTGTACCTCCAGGATCTTTGTCTACACTGCATGTTAATCAAAACACTTTTCAAAATAGAAATTTCTTCTTTCAAAGCAAAGGACTTACCCTATATAATAACTTCAACCAATACAGAAAAAGTAGTAAGTCCTCCATAAGTCCCCTTTCAGTGGTATAACCACTATTCACAGCTTTATTTATCAATAAAACATTTAATGCCTGCATAAATATTTGTGTGTTTACATGAGGGGATCAAATTGCACGTACTACGTTAGTTAAAAGCATATTGTACCGTTTTCCATGTCAATTTCCTACATTCTTCCATAGTGTCATCACAGTAATACACTCTATGAATAAATCAAATATGACGTAATTTCAAATAGGAAATGGAAGTTTTCAATTTTTTTACACTAATACAAAACCATGGTGACGATTCTTATGATTCTTATGTTCATCTTTGTCAAATATATCTTCACTCCTATAAATTAGCAGCAATGTAATTACTATGTAGAAATGCACTCACTGTTTAATGAACTTCTCCATTATCTACACATCCAGTCACTAAATCCTGTCAATTCTATCTGCTAGGTAACTCCTCAAATATTTCAAAACTGTCTCCTCTTCTCCATCTGCACCATCCCGACTCAAGTTCAAGCTGCCATCATCTCTCATCTAGTAATTTCAGCAGCCAGTGGCCTCCTTGCTCACTGCCTCCTTCTTCACAGCATCCCACTTGCCCTACTATAAAGATCTTTCTAAACTGCAAATCTGCCCTAAAGATATTCAGTGGCCCTTGGTGCTCATGGGTTCCAAGCTTCCGAACATGGCTTGTATGGCCCTTAATAATCTGTATCTTGTTTCTATGTACTGCTTTCTCTCCTGCCTCTTGCCTCCTCCTATGCTAAAGCTGTAGGTAACAGCCCTCAGCCACCTGTGTCCCCTTGCCTTCTCTCATCTCCTGGCCTCTGCAATTCTCCTGTCACACCACTTATTCTTTAAATCCAGGATTATGGTATCAGAGATCTTTTCTGATTCCTCAAATCTGAGTCAGGGGACTCAACTGTGAGTTCCCATTTTCCTTTCATTTTTTCAAATTTCAACAAAATAAACTCAGTACTTTTAACCAATAGCTGTATGCATAACACTGTAGCATTTTTTAAAGTGTTTCTATAAATCCATCCAGCTATCCTTCTAAATGATGTATTGAAAAAAGATCTATCTATAGTAACAGTCACATAATGTTAACGATATATCAATATCCTATACTTAATGTCAGCAATCAATCCCTGATGATCAGGTCAGGTATATTGTGTGGAAACGCTGAGAGCCTATTTCTCCCTATAATGCAACTTATGTTGAATATAAACCCCCAATAACTTTCTTAAAATATAGTTACAGTAGACTAGAATGCCTTTAATAACAAACTATCATGTTTAGGACATAAAACGCTTGTAACACTGTTTGCAGATCACCAAATATAGATCAAATAGTCCTGGCAATGAAATAATTAACATCTTAGGTATGCACCCTAAAATATCACATAAGGCATTCATTATGCAACAAGAACAAAATACTGCTTAAGGCAACATCAACTATGTCACAAAAATAAAATATTTTGGGTACAATGCAGTTGAGTTCAGTGTGGCATGAACAGTTACAATTAGGACCTGCTATTTTGATCTATGTTTGTATCAAGCTTTAGAACCAGGAAAAAAAAAAAAAAGTTGATCTGATAAAATACAGAATCACCTGCTCCAGCGGCTCACAAAATACATCACAAAATACATCGCTAGCAGCTAGATGTCCTCCTTCCCTCCCCTGCCTTCTCTACACGCACTCTGGAAATACAGGCTTCTCAGCCCTTCACAATTCCCTTCAGCCACCTGCATACTAAATAAACGGTGTTTAACCTCATGGTTCACTTTAGTGCAGGAATACTTTGATTTCAGACTGTTCTGCCCAAACGACACTAACCATTTCATCTGGTGATGCCAGGAATTTACAGAGGCACTCTATTTTTCTCCCATAAACAGCATTACCAGCTATTACAGTTTACAAATCACTTTCCGTGTATACTGTCCTCATATAACCTAGAATGGAAGTAGTGTTCATTCTTTATGTGCGTGTGCACACATGTGCCTGTGTGGGTGTGTATATACATCTACCTCTCGCAATTTCAAAAGCCATTTGGCTTACAGAAAGCCACAGAACTGGTTTAAAATACAAATAATAACAAAGATAATCTGGATATATATACACACTTGACTAATCAATCAACAAGTATAGATAAGATCAGAATCCTTTTGGGGATAAGGAGAGGAGATTAAAAGTAGGCAAACTTTGACTCCTTAAAGAAAGAAAATGGTTCACCACTGAGGAAGAAAGGGCACCAGGATGGGGAAACTAGCAATACTGAATTCAAACTTAAGTTCTGGACACTAACGGTCTAGGCTCAATTTTGATAATCTTCAACTCTTCACAGAACCTCTTCAACAGAAGAGGTACAGAAAATATTTATAAAGAATGGCAATAAGGATAGTTCTATTCCAAGAATGATAAATTCTTAGAAACAGTATAGGCTTCATTAGAAACATAATTTATGTACAATGAATTTGTTCATTAAAATATGACTGCAAAAAAATCAAGGCTATTTATACATAGCTTACTTGAGGTACATAGAACCTATTCTGGTTAGTGTCCCATTCCAATAAATTTAAGAGTGCCAAATTCACATACACATAAATAGAAGGTGATAGTTTGCCCTGAGAGAGATTTGCAGGAGTAGTTTTCAAAAGGATGGATTTACCTGCTATTTTTTAAGAATCTCAAATAGAATTCAACTTGAAATTTGTACAAAACATATGAGGTGTATATTATAAAAAGCACCAACTGCTCCTGCTCAGAAATGAGAACTTAAAAACACATACCCTTTTCCCTTTACAAACCAATTTTCTCAATAGTTTTGTTCTCTGTGATTAATCTAACAAGAGTAACCAATTTTGAAAGACTAATCTTTAAGCACAATTTGATGAAACTTTTGCCTAAATGACTTGAAAGAAATCAAAATTAAGTGTTTATTAAGTATAAGGTAAAGAAAAACCTAAGATGAAACAAGACTTAAAAAGACTGTGGAGAGAACAATTTTTCAGAATATCTTTTCTGAAACATACTTAAATAAATACATAGTTTATTGTACTTAAATACTTACCTGGTTAGACAACAAAAGTGGTTATGTTTTGAAAAAAGACATACTTTTATACTATTACTTATTTACTAAGTGTTTTGGGGGATGAGCCAAGGCTACAATAAATCACTGCTTTATACAATACTAAATGTTAGTATTTCATTCTGATCTATATAGCAATATTTTTGAGAAAAGGTCAAATACTCACCAATGTTTTGGTGTGACCTGGCTCAGACTGATAACTTCATCGAGGATTTCATTTTTAGCTTTTTCAAATAGTTCGTTCTAGGTAATATAGATACAAATAAGTAAGATTTTCACAAGAGAGTCAATCTGCCCTGCCATGAGTTTCAGAGATCTCTACAAAGGCCTCTGACAGGCAAACAGGCTGAGCTTAGGTTTGAAGCAGGCATGACCAGCAAATAATGCTCTTCTCTTCTAGTCTCATTTTTAGGAATGAGAAATAGCCAGATAAGGACAAAGACACTGACACAAATGTCTACCTTATTCATTCAATGCTCACTGTAGTTTTTCATGTAACATTTATTCAGTCAGGTAAGTTTTTCACATAACAAATGTTATGTGAATGTATTAGTACATATTAATTTAGTCCATTAGTATTAGTAAACTGATGCTGTTTTATAAAAGATGGCATTTTAAAATCAAGGAATACCAATATTTAAGTCCCACTAATCAGAGTATATTTCTCCATAGTAAATGCTGAAAAGGTAAAAGAGTCAATGTACGATTTTAAAAAGTCTGTATTACATAAATATGTTAATTCTAGAAGACCTTTAAAGAATGTTCTTCATTTTATCAGAAAAACATTTTTAAATACTTGCTTTAGTATCTTATGATCTGTAATTATTTTTTAATATTATGTAATAAATAATTTAAATTATCTTAGAAGAGATAACTGCTCCGGGAATATACTCTTGCAGCTCTAAATTAGTAATCTTATGGTCAAAATCGAAGCAGGTTGGCTTACCAGAGTTTGCTCATCAACATAAATTTTTGTTAGAGCACAGTATCAAATAAGACATATACAAAATACATGAGGTACACAAACGTTACCCGGTCAAGTTCTCGTAGACGAGGATAGTTATTCTTCCACTCAGTTTCAAGGTTAAAACGTGTTGCTAAGGAAGAAGAAAAGGTGTTCCAGTTTAAGGATTCTCTTTCTTCCCAGCTGCAGTGGTTAAAGGTGATCTCACACATCTCTGTACTAACGGAATTGCTGAGTGCACGCCTATGGCTCCTGAGTGCCGTGGGCTCTCAACATGTCAGAATCTCACCTCTGCAAGTTTTCCAAACTAATCTCCTTGACTTTAGTTTCTCCATTTTCAATCCGCAACACACACAAGGGAACAGCTTAGTACAGCTGCTAAAGGCATGGATTCTGGAATCACACCACCAAGATTCAAATCCTGGGTCTATTCTCGACCATGTATGAGCTGGGTGCACTACTTAGGTAAGTTACTCTGTGCCCCAGTTTCTTCTTCTGTAAAATGAGAGTAACAACAATACTCTTAAGGTTGCTGAGGGACTCAGCAGGTGGACTTTCTACATGGGAAAAGGGAAGGTAAGTATACTCTCATCAAATGAAACTATGGAAGCAAAGCCAAGGAGCAAGAAAGCGTGGCATTCAGGAACTGGTACAAAGTAGCTGAAGCACAGGCTGCTCTGCCCCCCAACACCAGTCCCCTCTTCCCTCTAGAAGGGGGAATCTAAGTCCACTATGGTTTACTAAGCTCTTGCTCTCAAACACTACTGCAAACTTTCTACTCTGTTGAAAATCTGCAAAGTCCTCCTTGGGATGTTTCCTCTGAAGGTGAAAGTGTTCTCGTACAACAACTAAAGATTTATATTTTTTCCATTTTCCACATATTATCTAACAGAAAATGGAAGTAAAAAGCCACTGTTAAAGGAATAACAAATCTGACGGATACCTAACCTTGCCAACTAATAAAATGTCTAAAGTTGTCAGCTTATTTTAAACAGCCAACTTACCTTTGAAACTATCAGCCTGTTGCTCAACGGACTCTCGTACCATTTTCCAAAAGCAGTCTGATACAGCAAGGCTTAAATTTCTTGTAGTCACTTGGTGTGCCTTTAGCATGCTTGTCCTATTAAAAAATAATAAAAGCTAAAGTACATAAAAATGGCAAGAAGGACGATAACTATCACCAAATTTGGAAACGTGCTCGTTATGATAATGTAATGAGAATACCACTTTCACATTTTATACTAGCACTACCCAATAAAACATTCTGTGATACAGACAATGTCCTGTATCTGAGCTATCCAACATGGCAGCTACCAGCCACATGGGGCTATTGAGCCCTTGGAGTGTATGGCTAGTGTGCTGAAGAACTGGAGTTTTAATTTCTTTAAAGTTAACTAATTCACACTTAAATAATCACCCGAGGCCAGTGCCTACCATGCTGGACGCCTCAGTTCTCTACACCTGTCAGTTCCCGTCCCCATAGATAAGACTCAAGACTATGTTTGCAAGAACTATCTTGATTTACTGTACTAATGCAGAGGCAAACATACCTTGCCATTTTAAGAGACTCTCTACATACAAGGTAATTCAGTTATCATTTAACTCTTCCTTTTTACTTTTTTTCAGGATCTTATTTTCTGTCAATATCTATTTAAAGATACCCGTTTGACATCCCGAACCCCCACTCTCACTTTCCCCATTACTGAAAGAGAAACGAGTACATGTATTTAAAAATCTAAATTTTGAATTGTTGGGGGCGTCTGGCTGGCTCAGTCAGTAGAGCATGCAACTCTTCATCTTTCATCTTGGGGTTTTGAGTCTAAGCCCCACGTTGGGGGCAGAGTTTACTTAAAAAATAAGTAAACATAAATACCAGAAGGATGGGTTTCTTCAAAAAAATAAATAAATAAAAATGTAAGTGTTGATCTTAAAAAAGTCACTTCATAAGTAAAACAACTAAAGATGTGTCCGTGTTGTCCTTCAGTGCCCATATCCCCAGGGGCAGGTTTTCATGCGAGCATGTATTGTACCATGTGATAAGCTGCTCCTAATTCTTTTTTTTTTTTTTTTTTTTTTTTTTTAATGTTTATTCACTTTTAGAGACAGAGAGAGACAAAGCATGAGCAGGGGAGGGGCAGACAGAGAGACACAGAATCCAAAGCAGGCTCCAGGCTCTGAGCTGTCAGCACAGAGCCTGACGCGGGGCCTGAACCCACGAACCACAAGCCCACGACTTGAGCCCAAGTTGGACGCTTAACTGACTGAGCCACGCAGGCGCCCCAAGCTGCTCCTAATTCTTAGTAGCCTGCAGGCCTGCCTATTACATCCAGATCACTATTTCAGAAAAATTCTGGAAATTCAATGATAAACTAATGCTATAAAGCAAACTTTAAGTGAGAACAGCTTAAGTTACTCCCTCCAAGTATTTAAAACATGTACCTACTTTAGGAGTTTTGAATTCTGAAAAAATTCTTCTTCATATTCTCTTATAGCTTCAATGCTTTCAGAGCTGTTCCCTAGGGAAAGACAATGAAATTCTCACTAAGAAAATTAATCTTTATTATTTGAAAACAACAAAAACTGAAATTGTAAGAATCCATCTTTGCATACCTTTTCCTGTTACAACAGCAAAATAACCTAGAGCTTTCATTGGGAAGAGTTTTCCTTCAATTATCTGCTGAATCTATTTTTAAAAGTGGGAAATAAATGTGAGATGCAGGTTTATATAATTTTTTGAAGCATAATATACTATTCAGAAAGAAAACTTAATAATGCTGTATATACACCCTCAAATATATAAATCTATACAAAAGTATTAAAATGCTTTTTGATTGCTACTTGAGGGGAAAAAACACATTTAATTTCACTACGCTACAAGATGCATTATGAAAACTGGGAATTCTGTACAGTGCTTTGGGGTCAGACCTTAGTTTAATTTCAGCTCCTCCATTCCTTAGCTACGCAGCTTTAAGTAAGCTGCTGAACTTTTTCAAAATGATGGCTGAAAACATGATATGAGGCAATATGGTAGGTACGTTACCACGGTGCCAGGCACGCAGAGTCGCTCAATAAATAGTAGCTGCTGTTTTTATTTTCCCGTACTTTTCTTCAAATATATAAATCCTAACCAAGTTGGACTTCTTTTTCTCTTTTTTTACAAATATTGGGATCCACTGGCTCTTTTAGGGTCAAAACCCTTTTCTAAACGTAATAAAAGCTAGAGACCCTGTCCCCAGGAAAATGCACATTTCCACAGAGATCAATCCCTCATACAATGTAAGAGTTCCTGCTCCCTATGCCTATTCAAATTAATACTGCAGGTAAGAATCCATCCTCTAAGACAAGTCACAGCCCTAAGCCAATGCTGAAGCTTTGGTATAAAAAAGGACCGATATAAATTTCAGTTGCATTTCAAAAAAATATAAACTATCCTAGAGAAGAGGGGAAAGACATGAAAGAAATAAAGAGAGCTGGGAAAGAGGCACAGAATTTGCTTCTACCTCACTTCTCCCCTCCTCCAACCAGGACGAAAACCGCCACAGCAGGCCTCCCCCTCAAAATAAGGCAAAGCAAAGGCCATGGAGGTTGCGCACAGAAGAGTTAACACAGCAGGCCTGAAATTGCTGTCCTTAGAAAGGTCTGCTCGTCCTTGGCTGGCATTTGAGGACCTCACTGGTAAACAATTCCCACATTGACATAAAACTTTCTCCACATAACAGTGACTCATTGTGCAAGCAGTGTGGTTTCGGCTGAACACTTGGCTTTCCTTTGGGCGTCTGGAATTTTGGTACTTGAGGGTGCCTACATGACCAGCCCCCAGTAAGAACCTCAGGTGCCGAGTCTCATGAGAAACTTGTTGCTGGAGGGATTGAGCATTTCCCACATGACTCTACTAGGAAAGGGCTCTTGGAAACCTGAGCCGGGTTTCCTCCAGACACCAGGCTCTTGCACTTTATTTAGCCTTTCGTGATTTTGCTTTGCATCCAATACTGTTAATAGATCTTAGGCATAAGGACGACTATGTGCCGAGTCCCGTGAGTTCTTCTACAGAATCAGTGAACCTAGGGGTGGTCTGTCCTGGGAATCCAGCACAAGAGGCACAGTCCCAGATGTTTCAGGTGGGAAGGAGAGAAACTCTATGCAGTAGTACAAGGGATGAGTAGTTCTAATGGCAGATGTTCTATGAGGGACAGAGATATAACAATAATAACAGATGACAGCCACCATGTATATAAGACTTTGCAATGTTAGAGCACTATTTCAACCACTTTACAACAAATATTTAACTCATTAAACCTTCACAGCCTATGAGATAGTACCATTAGTATCTTCATTTCCAACAGATGAGGAAGCCTAAAGCACTGAAAAAGTTTAAAAATTTACCCAACATGACACAGCTAGCAAAAGGTAGAGCCAGCTTTTGAAACCAAGCAATCTGGCTACAAAATCTATACTTGCAACCACTACTACCTTCTGCCTTTACCTTTGGTAAAGAACATGCCCTACGTCAAGACTGGCACCCTAGTAAGACTTACAACGTTACCTTGAAATAAAATTCTTTTGTTGTTACAGAAGGACAGGAGGGACACTGAACTCCATGAATAGAAGTCGCAGAATTTCAGAAATGAAAATGACCCTAAGACACCAACTAGATTGATAGCATGGATTAGGCACTAACTCGATGCAGAGAAGTAACAAGATTTGTCCAAGGACACATGGCCAGTTGGTGGCCAGATAAGAATGCTGAGGCATAACACCAATCCAGTGCCTTCTCTATTATAAAAATCTGCTTCACAGTCTTTGAGCAGTTGGGAAATATAATATTAGCAAAAAAAAAAAAAAAAAGTATACACAATGTCCAGAAGGTATTTATAGTGTGACTAGTCTTACACTAATTTATGAAAATCAACTAAAAACAAATTTAGAAAAGAAACACCACAATCATTATTTTGTGGTTAATTAAGAAGTAGTTAATGACTGCACATCAGCACGTAAGATTATATTAGAGTAAGCAACATTAGTAATTTAAGAATTTCTGAAGCAAACTAACTGAAATTATGGAATTTTATTTATACTTCAAAATTACACTTAAGTAATTTACTGTAACTTTATAATACTTTGTTTTTAATGAGGAGAAAAATCCCACCAAAGTATTCCACAAGGACTTTTTGATTGCTTGTTTCTTTTGTTTTTATAGCCAGTTCTTGCTACAGCTGACGCTTATACAAAGAATCTGTTCTCTCATAATAAAGAGCTTGTCCTCACCCTGCTCGGGCTAGCCACGTTTTTTTCTGCCAGGTCTACTTTGGTCAAAACAAATATCGTCCTCCTTCCATGAGGATCCATTTGACTGACCAAATCTGTAACAATGCTACGTTCAGCATCCACAGATCCATCTGAAAAAAAAAAAATTGAAAAATGACACTGCAATGATTGCCAAGTAGATTTTGTAACTTTAACCCTTGTATCTACATTATACTAAGAAAATTTTTCTTAATACATTTATCTTAGTTATGAAAAGAAATTCTAGCTAATAAAAATTTCTGTGATGTTTTATCAAAATATTCTTAATTTCATTTCTACTTACTAATAAAACGAATGGTTTACAGGAGGGCAAGACATTTATGTTGTATGTTTATGTAACGTGCAAAGCTTAAGATTGCTAAGGAAAGAAGCGTATTGGTGCAATTAAAACCTTTTGATAAGATTTACCTTGAATACACAGTATGATGGCATTAGGATTCTGCATATAAGCTTTGCTGATACTGAAAATAGTTTCCTTTGTGTCAGGAGCCATGCCTGATGTCACAGTCTTGAAGAAAAAGGTTTTAAATGTCATTATACATGTTTTCCACAATAGGAACAAGATAAAACGTAAGTTTTGTATATACTTACATTAATCACACCTGGTAAGTCAACAAGCACCATCCTTTGCAGTCCGGGGCCTTTTACGTTTAAGGATATGGTCTACTCAGGGAAACAAAACAAAAGGAAACTAATTGTGGGGGGCGGTTTGTTAGGGATTTATTGGTGATACGTGTTCTAAAAATTCTGTATCTCATCCATTCACAAAAAAGTTACCCTTTCTCTGATCCTAAAAGTTAATCACTCTAGAAAATTACTCACAAATGATACATTATTTGGAATATTAAAAAAAAAAATCTGTCTTGAAACAGCTGTATTCTCTAAACATGAATGCCAATATCATGATTTATTTCCAATCATTTGGATTTCCATAAAACACTTTCCATAAAACTGTTAAAATGAACTACAACACTTACCTCAGGACTAACAGTACAGCCTTCTTTCACATTTTTCCTCATTCGGAGTTCTATTTCATGTCTTAGTGCTGCAAGCTATTAATGGAAAACAACAAAATCCTGTGATAATCTTCCTTTAACAAATATTCCAGTTAGTTGTCGTTCATAAGCTTATACACATTATCAAGTTACACACATGAACCTCATGTAAATTCTACTTACATCCTCCTCTTTGGTAAGATCGAACTCCCGAGAACTATCTTTAAACAAGGCCACGTGGTGAGGACCTTCACTCAGAGTGACCTGAAATTAACAGAAAATGGACACGCAACAGTGCATTTACAATTCACGTTGACTCCCACAGCACTAACACAGCCTAGACGGGACCATTGCACTGCACGCATCAGGTCCCTTCGCAGCACACACCAGGAGCATCCCTGGGGGCTGTCAACATGGCAGCGCAGAGATCACAGAACTATTTATCTGTGTTGTCCATACATCTGTCACAAGTGTCATAATTTCCCAACAAGCCTGCGGCTACTCTTTCACGACTGAAAGTGCTGCTGCCCCTCTCTTTTCCCAGTTAATGGCTACACAGAGTACTGAGCACAAAACCATCAATCTAAAACTTGAAAAACAAAAAGAAAATCTTGCATTTAACCTCAAAGGTAAATTTAGGTAAAGGACAATTCATTTACTCAACTTCTATTTATTGAGGGCTAACTGTGCAAGTGTTGCAGGAGGGAAACAAAGAAGGGACCGTCCCTGGCTTAGACCTCACTGCTTCTGGGAGAAGTATACACAGAGCTGACACGACAGTATAGTAAAACCTAGGTGCACACAAAAGACAGTGGTACTGACCACAGAGGAACTAAGGCAGCCTTCGCCCAAGGAGTGAGTGATGTTTGCATAAGGAATTCTCTAACAATGCAAGGCCCTGTGAACAGGGCCTTCCTGAGAACTTCTAACCTTCACATTCCTTCCTTCCTTCCTTCCTTCCTTCCTTCCTTCCTTCCTTCCTTCCTTCCTTCCTCTCTTCTCTTCTTTTTTCTTTCCTTCCTTCCTTCCTTTTCTTTCTTTCTTTCTTTTCTTTTCTTATTTTTCTAACTTTTCAAGCTTCTCTATAATGTTCCAGTTTCATTTTTAAAATACAATTCCTTCTAGTGAGACTACCTAAAGCGGGCTAGATAACCAATAAAATCCAGCGGGTTGAAAGCATCAGAAAGCAACCATGGCAGCCTGAACTCAGTCCAAGACCCCCGAGGATGTTAGGGACACATTCTGATGGCTGTTTTCTCTCAGGGTGCTAGCAGATTTGTGGAACATGGTAGCACTGGAGAAAAGGTTACCAGTCTTACTGGATTGAGGAGACAAAATCAGAGATCAGGGTATCAAGCAGCCCTGAATTTAAGGTGCTAAAGCCCCAGAAAAAAATGGACAGCAGAAATGAATCTCCAAAAACCAAGCCCTACTTTTTGTGCACAATTGCCCCCTGTAAGGCATTTGCACATGTGGAAACAAAGCAGAAAGAAGCTGCTAAAAAGGCTAAGTCAAGATTTTGGCAACTTGTTTAGGAGAGACAAAAATTGAGTTCCGAGTCCATCAAGGAGAAGTCTTCTAGCAAATTCTAGAGGAGTAATGGTGAACTGGAAAAAAACAAAACAAAACAAAACAAAAAACCCAGCCTTTTATGTTTCAAGGGAATCTGTCCATGATTTACTCACCTGCCAGAAGAAAATTAACCCCTTCCTAAAATATAACATTGTCCACAGCTGCTATAATTACAGTGCTGCTCACAATGCAGAAGCTACGTTTACAATGTTTTTAGAGATGATTATAGAGCAAGGCATGAGGTGTAGTCAATTTCCCCCCACAATGGAAGTATTCCAAGTGCCCATCAATAGAAAATGGATCTATAAAGTTGGGTACATTCACACAAAACCATAGAGCAATGAAAAGGAAACTAGTTTTACACAACATAGTTGAGTTCACACCCAGACCCAAAACAGTGCACTCTGTATGGAACACACTAGACCGCTTCATTTCTGGAAGATTCTAGAATCAGCCTCATTGTCTATTCTGGTCTTCATTCTTGATGGTGTCAATTTTCTAATTCTCCAATTACTCTGTACCTGACTACCTGACATAAAAGAAAACAATACACAACCATACAGCTTCCCCTCAAATTTATGTCCACAGATCTTAATGGGGACCTCAGTATGGCTCAGCAACCCGATTATTTCTCAGTTTCTCTTGTCAACTCACTTCTGGCCTAGAAAGTCTTCCTTCTTAGCTCAATCTTTAACAGTTTCTCCCTTCTCTTTACTTAACAGCTGATAATCTAGCCTCTTAGAGTCACTGAGCAAGGGGAAGTAAGCAGAAGGAAACTTGCACATATTCTACTTCATTGCCTCCACTGGTAAATTCAGCGGTCGATTCTCAGTCTTCACCCTCCTTGATCTGTCAGCAGCTTTCAACCTCGCTGATCACTACCTCCCCCTCGGTATTTTCTTGACCTGACTTCCACTACACTGCACTGTTCTGATTCCCTCTAATACACTGGTAGCTCCTTTGTTGTCTGCTCCTTCCTCAACCTCTTAATCTTGGGTATGCCCAGGACACAATCCTTCATCCTGTGTCTTCTCTCTCCTCACTTCCTTGGTGATCTTACCCAGTAAGATCATGGAGTTAAATATCACATTTAGATATTTGATTACGAGTCCTAAATTTATGTCGCTAGCCCAGACCTCTCTCCAAATTTGTGTCTCCAACTGCCTATTTATTTGTTAACATCCCTTGCAAGTCCCAAACTCCTGATCTTCTTCCTAGAGCTAATTCACTCTACTCCAGACTTCCCCATGTCAATTACATGTGGAAATTTATTCAGGCCCAAAACACTGGAGTTGTCCTGACAACTGACTCTCTCTATCAAGTATCTGAGGAAATCCTATTGATGCTGCTTTCAGAATAGATACATAATCCAACCATCTCTTATCACCTTCACTGCTACTTCCCTAGTGTAAGAATCACCTAGACACTCCAATAGCTTCTCATGTGGTCTCCGTGGTTCTACCCATCTTGCTTATGTCTATTTTCTTTTTTTTTTTTTTTAATTTTTTTTTTTTCAACATTTATTTATTTTTGGGACAGAGAGAGACAGAGCATGAACGGGGGAGGGGCAGAGAGAGAGGGAGACACAGAATCGGAAACAGGCTCCAGGCTCTGAGCCATCAGCCCAGAGCCTGACACGGGGCTCGAACTCCCGGACTGCGAGATCGTGACCTGGCTGAAGTCGGACGCTTAACCGACTGCGCCACCCAGGCGCCCCAACTTATGTCTATTTTCAAAACAGCAGCCAGAGTGAGCCTTTGAAAAATATTGCTCTATTCAAAACCCTGGACTGCTTATTTTATTCAAAATAAAAACCAAAGTTTGCATGATGACCAACAAGGCCCTACTGATCTGCTTTCCCTTTCTCCCATTATCCATACTCTGACCTCATCATTTGCTAATCCTAACTGTGCTCTAGCCACACTGGCCTCGAACATGAAAACCACCTAACCACCTCAGGGGCTTTACACTAACTTTTTCTCTGCCTGGAACACTCGTAGACTAGATATCCACACAACTTCTTCCCTCACTTAGTGCAAATCCTGGTTCAAATGTCACCTTCTCAATGCAGTCTACCAACACCCTGGCAGCCTCATTTCCCTTGTCTGGCTCCACTTTTTTTTTTTTTTTTTTTTTTTTTTGGCAAAACACCCACCATCTTTTAACATACTACATAATCTGGTCACTTATTCTGTTTACTATTTATTGTCTGCTTCCTCTACTAGAACGTATCCTCCATTATGGCAAAGATCTTTGTTTTGTTTACCAACACACTGCCTCAAACAGTGCTGGAATGTATTAAACGAGTCCCAGCCTTGTTTACCTCAAAGCCTTTGCTATTACAATCGTTCCCTCTCTCTTACATCATTTTTACCTCTGAAACTAGATCATTACAATCAGTATATAAAAATCTCTCCCTTTACCCAACATATTTCCACTGTTGCTACCCCATTTCTCTACTCTTCTTACAGTAAAACTAGGAAATTTATATTTACTAACTCCATGGCCAATATTCCCATTCTCTTACTTAGCCTCTCACTAACCTCACATTGAATAAAATCTAGAGTCCTAACAATGAACAGCTCAGTGCAGTCTGACCCCACCACGCCTCTGCCCTCCTCTCCCATCTCTCTCCCCTCACCTGCCCAGCAACTGTCACAATGGCCTCCTGGCTGTGTCTCCACCGATTTCCACAACAGGAGTACTTCCCAGTGCTATGTGTCAGTCTTCTCATTTACAATTCTTCATTTCAACACAATGAACAAACTCGACGGAAGCTGCTACTTTCCTGAGGGGCTTCGCCCAGATGGCCTGCTGTCCTACCTTAACTGGAGAACGTGTCATCATCTCCCCAGATCCTCGAGGGAATATCCGTGCTTGGGCAATCATTTCCAGCACACTAGTTTTTCCAGCACTCTGATCTCCAACCACAACAACCTTATCACAGAACAAATAACATTTATTCACATTTTAAAAAAATGTTTATTTATTTTGAGAGAGAGAGAGAGAGAGAGAGAGAGCAAGAGAGCATGCACGAGCGGGAGAGGGGCAGAGAGAGGGAGAGAGAGAATCCCAAGCAGGCTCTGCATTGTCAGCATAGAGCCCAACATGGGGCTCGATCCCATGAACCATGAGATCACGACCTGAGTCAAAATCAAGAGTCAGACACTTAAGTCACCCAGGCGCCCCAGAGTTTTTAATACAAACTTACATTTAAATAGATTTGAAATACTGCTGAGGTTTTTTTAGTCTTTTAAAATAGCTACAGCTAAATGATTTTGAAAACACCATCCAGAAAACAAAGATGGCCAATACACATATGCCTATTGAAAATATAAACAGGAAAATATTAATTGGATCCATTATTTATAACTAAATTTTTATTAAAGACTTGTGCTAAGCAAAATAAGTCAGTCAGATATCATGATTTCATTCATATGTGGAATTTGAGAAACAACAGATGAACATAGGGGAAGGGAAGGAAAAATAAGATGAAAACAGAGGGAGGTAAACCATAAAAGACTCTTAAGTACGGAGAACAAACTGAGGGTGCTGGAGGGGAAGGGTGGGGGGGTGGTGAGTTAAATGGCTGACAGGCATTAAGGAGGGCACTTTACAGCTGAGCACGGAGTGTGATGTGTAAGAGATGAATCACTGGGTTCTACTCCTGAAGCCAAGACTACACTGTATGTTAACTGACTTGAATAAAACAAAAACAAAAACAAAAACAAAAAAAAAAAAACAAACAAAAAAACCCTTATGCTAATTAAACCACTACTTCTAAAACCATACCATTTCTGTTGTACACATCTTTTCCATAGCTAGTTTACTCTTTACAAAGACATTTTCAATTCTGTGAAATTAAATTTCCCTCACTAATTTAATCCACTATTCAGGTATTTTAGTACCATGGGTATTACAAATATATAATGGCAGATACCTGATAACCTTCCTTCATTACACATAAATTCAACGTGTATATTTATACAATGGGCCAAATGGGCCAGTGAACCAAAACAGCCAAACAACATTCAATGCTTACGACATCATGTAGAACACATAATATTATATAGGTAAAAGACATATGTCTCTGTTTATGTCTGTGTGTGGTGTGCACATATGTATATGTCTATATTGTGTGTCTGGGTATATATACACAGAACTTTTTTAAAACGTAAAGTGTTCTTGGGGTGCCTGGGTGGCTCAGTCGGTTGAGTGTCCGACTTCGGCTCAGGTCATGATTTCACGGCCCAGGAGTTTGAGCCCCGCGTCGGGCTCTGTGCTGACAGCTCGGAGCCTGGAGCCTGCTTTGGATTCTGTGTCTCCTCCTATCTCTGCCCCTAACCCACTAGCATTCTGTCTCTGTCTCTCTCAAAAATAAATAAATATTATAAAAAACGTAAGGTGTTCTTTTGCTAATGAGCAAGTTCACTATGTATTAATTTTTCACTTACCCTTGGCAGATGATCTTGTGTATTGTAACTGGCGTCATAATCAGATAGAACATCAAGAACTTCAGAATACATGTCAATCAAGGATTTCTACAAAATTTTAAAAATTAGTATGAAACAGTGAACACATTAAAAAAAAATCAGATGTGTCAAGAGAAAAAAAGCTGATTAATCCAAAATGTGTTTCCATAATGACTGTATTGTTTTTTTCCAATTATATAAATACACATTCATAGTAAAACAGTGTGGCATGAAATTCCATTTCCCTCTTATCCATCTTATTTTATTCAGAGATATACTGATTTAATAAAGTACATTAACGAGGATTTCCTAAGCTTCTAATGAAATGTTAAAAGAGGGACGTTATGGTTTAACACTGAACAGCTAAAATAAATGCCCAACAAAGGAAGGCCATTAACACCATAAGGCCAAACAAGGAGTCAGTGACCAACTGCAAGGGAATCATCCTCTATCAAGTTTGGTATGTGGATCAGAGGGAGACACACAGAGAGGGTGAGAAACAGAGACCGAAGAAAGGATAAAAGTAGAGAAAAAAAGTCACCAAGAAGACCGTTAAATCAGTAAGAATGAGTATGTGTACTGTGACAACTGGGCAGATGAAGGAGTGAGAGCATCAGGGACAGACATCCTGCATTGTTTTTCTGTGTAGAACCAGGACAGAACATGGAACCCAGCAAACAATAAGCTTGAAGAAAGTATCTGATGAGTGACTCAACAAATAAGTAAAACAGGTGGGAAAAAAAGGGTTACTGTCAAGCACATAATAATTAAAGACAAGTTTCAATGCAAGGTAGGAACAAAACGAGGGGCCTATGTTTTCTTGCATCTCACAACACCTCAAAGTAATTAAATGGAAAACAACTGCTATGCCCTCCACCCCAAAATAAAAAGTTCTTGAAATTTTCACTACCATTTCATTTTATGAGAGAAAATACTGTTTCTGAGGTGAACTCTATTAACACTTGGACATGACTTCCCTCAATTGCCACATGTGACTTGTGAATAAAGCCATGCTATTTATCTGTTTTTTGCAGTCGTGATTTAAAGTCAGAACTACTAATACATGTTGGTTAAACTAGTACTACTTAGCTTTGGACCTTGGCTTCAGAATACATGTCATGATTTATTGTAGGTTTGCTATACACAAATACTGTTTACTTACATGAGATACAAGTTAAAAATATTACTTCAATTTAATTCAGCACATACAGCCTGGTTTAGTGGGCAATAATAAGATTTAACTTACCAATAATGGTAATTACCAGTGTGCTGATGGTCACAATCCCAGTATATACTTTTTTCCAACATTCTCTAAAATACCTAAGAAACCTTCCAGAAAAAAACGTGAATTCTTATAAAAGTGAAGAAAGTGAACTAATCATTCACTGGAAATACAAGTGTGGCAATGAAGCTAAGTCATATCTAAATGTCCATCAACTCACAATTCTGATTTTATGCCGTAGAAATTAAATAAGCCTAAAGATAAAGTGGCTATTTCAGAAAAATAAATTGATTCACAAGAAATGATTGTTAAAAGTATGAAGATTTTATAGGCCTAGTATGAAACAAATGTCTGGAGACTATAATTTGTGAAATGTCTTAAGATAGGAAAGACTTCCCAATCTCCCAAGGATATCAAGTTAGAAAGAAAAGGATAGAACATATTACAGCTTTAAAAACGTACTGACTGAATGCACAGTGTGAAATGGCAAACTTCTGGAACTAACAAAATTCAGATAAACTTAAAATACCTTAAGCTTTCTGTGATGGATGCCTTTGTCATCTTTCTGTAATACTAATTTTCTTAATTCTTTGTTCTCTTTTTCTAATCGTTCCAAGATCCTCTGGTACTTTAACTGCAACAAAATAATACCATAATTATGTAAGAAAAAGATGGGTTAATAACATAATTAAGTCTAAATTAAAATCTTCCAAATTCCTGAAGTCATATCTCCTATTTAAAATGAGCTTTTCATTTATAAAGCTTCTTTGAAAATGTTGGAAATAAAATAAATTATATTATCTCACACAAACAGTGGAATTCATTATAGTTTTCTATTATAATTTGGCATTTTATTTGGAAAATTCTTTGCTATTTACACTGAAGAAATTAAGTTATTTAAAAATACTAAAATGTAAGAATTTAAAGAAGCAAGTTCTTAAGTACATTCTATTGAAGTAATATTTCCTATCACATCAAAAATTTAAATTTTCATTATGGGGACATTTGACAAAAATTCAAATTCTTCCCATTCTCCATGTTATTTTATGCTGTAATTAAAATGATACAAAATAGGGGCGCCTGGGTGGCTCAGTCGGTTGAGCGTCCGACTTTGGCTCAGGTCATGATCTCGCGGTCTGTGGGTTCGAGCCCCGCGTCAGGCTCTGTGCTGACAGCTCAGAGCCTGGAGCCTGTTTCGGATTCTGTGTCTCCCTCTTTCTCTGACCCTCCCCGTTCATGCTCTCTCTCTCTCTGTCTCAAAAATAAATAAACATTAAAAAAAATTTTTTTAATAAATAAATAAATAAAATGATACAAAATAACAATAACTAACAGTACCTGAGCATGTATTATCTGACAGGCCTGATACTGAATGTTTTAACAGCATTAGTGTCCTTAAGTCTTTACAGGAGACAAAAGTTAGGGGCCAGAGGTTAGGGACACTTGGTAGCCTATCCAAGGTCACAGAGTTCTGAATATAGGTCAGAGTCAAGAGCTTAAACTGTCCAAATTTTGGTTACGTTTCCGTGGCTGGAAATTATACATCAATTTTTAAAATACTGATATAAAAGCAGATTTAAAGAAGACTAATACATTGACAAATACATTTGACAAAACAAGACAGATTGTTTTGTCAAAGCAGATGCTTAGCTACACGCTGTTCTTCTCAAATACATGTGATTCTTTCCTACTTGGTCACCTCAGTTGGTATAATATTACTTCTTGCCTAAACATTAACAACGTTCAGAAAACTATTAAGAATTACTTCTCTCTCCAACCAGCAGAATGTTTACATCCAACTTATAATATCATGCCTTTTAAAATGGAAAAGAAGGGGCGCCTGGATGGCTCAGTCGGTTAAGCGGCCGACTTTGGCTCAGGTCACGATCTCGTGGTCTGTGGGTTCGAGCCCCGCATCAGGCTCTGTGCTGACAGCTCGGAGCCTGGAGCCTGTTTCAGATTCTGTGTCTCCCTCTCTCTGACCCTCCCCTGTTCATGCTCTGTCTCTCCCTGTCTCAAAAATAAATAAAATGTTAAAAAAAAATTTTTTTTTTAATAAAATGGAAAAGAATCCTTAGGAAAATTTTTAGATTGGTGTAATCTCCTCAGAATGAAGTAAATAAATGACAGGAAGTCAGGGCCCTGTCCTCAGAGAATGTTAAACTTGAGTCAAATTTTAAAAAAGCATATTCTGCAGTAGGACTCTGTACTATGAAACAAGTAGAACTAGAGGCTAGATTCTACTATAAACTTTTTATTTTAAACACACTTATTCATTTACATGTAGTAATAATATATACAACAAAATTATGGCAGAATTAAATCTTTGTTGTCTAATATGTTAGCCACTAGCCACTATAGCTGCTGAGCACTTTGAAATGTGGCTAGTCTGAACTGAGATGTAGTGTTAAGGGTAAAATACACACCAGATTTTTACAATTCAGTATATAAATAAAACACCTCATTAATATTTTTATACTAATTACATGTTTAAAGAATATTAATTTGGGATCTACTGGGTTAAATAAAATGCATCATTAAAAATATGTTACCTATTCCTTCTTACCTTTTTGTAACGTAAAAATTTAAAACTACACACGCGGCTTGCATTATGTTTCTATTGCATTTCAGTAATACAGATAACCCCATGGCTTATTACATCAGGAATTTTTCATACAGTGTTTTTGTCAATACCCTGTGGCTGACACTACAAATCGCTCAAGTCGAGTTGATATCAATGGACATACAAGTGTGGTAGGATTTCCACTGGCTCATTTCTTTATAAATATGGAATTAATTTTGGGGTCTACATTTTCTGGGGATGGAACCATTCTTTGGTACATGTGCCAATCTATAGCCATCCTGCAGAGACATGCTACTGAGTGGTCTTCCAAAGATCTAGACCAACAGTTCTCAAACTTAAGGATGCATCAGAATCACTTGAGGGCTTCTGAAAAGAAAAATTACTGGGTTCTACTTCTAGAGTGCTGATTCAGGGGGTCTAGGAAGGGGTCAATAATTTGTATTTCTAACAAGTTCCCAAAGGATACTGGTTGCTACTGCTCCAGAGACCACATTTTGAGACCAATGATTCTTAAACTCTAGCTGAATTGAAGACTGGAATTGCCTGGCTGGGAAGTATTTAAAAATACACAGGGTGATGGCCAGAGCACAAGTGATTATATGGTATGGTCTGGCATAAAGATCAATGCATAGATATCAAGGAAATCAACCACAGATATTAAGAAAATCTGTGACCAAAAATATACTAATTGTTTAATTTTATCTAGGTTGCCCCTTGTATTTTTTTCCCCTAAAAAGAAAGCTCTTTAAAACAAGTTTTAACTTAAAACAAAACCTCCTTAATTATTGTATATCATTGTTATCTATGTAAAATAACAATTATACTATATGTTATATACTACAGTTGTTTATATTACATTATAAAATAGTAATAATCATAATACTATAACTAATGATGAAGTGGGTGATAGGGCAATTTTGCACTAGAATATACCTACTCATCACACTGAATAGAACATGTCTTTAAAATAATAGTAGCTTTATAACCAACTATCGGAGAATAGATTTTCAAATTAGTGCCAGAAATACATTTAGAGAAGGCATTATCTGACTATTTTGGGGATTTAGAGAAGTAAAGGAAAAAGATACTGAGGGCTGACTAGAACTGTGGTTTCTTTTTTAAATTTCTTTTTTTTCTTCAACGTTTTTTATTTATTTTTGGGACAGAGAGAGACAGAGCACGAACGGGGGAGGGGCAGAGAGAGAGGGAGACACAGAATCGGAAACAGGCTCCAGGCTCCGAGCCATCAGCCCAGAGCCTGACGCAGGGCTCGAACTCACGGACTGTGAGATCATGACCTGGCTGAAGTCAGACGCTTAACCGACTGCGCCACCCAGGCGCCCCGAGAACTGTGGTTTCTTAAACTGTGGTTTCTTACTACTTACATTAATTAGCCTGTCAATGTAAATGGTTTACATAAGGATGAGTCATTTTCCCTCATTTTTGTTTTTCATAGCAGTGTTTCTTTAAAATTAGAAGCACAAGATTCACTAAAAAACAGGTCTTTACATAGAAGGAGTTAACCACACTTACCAAATTCCTGATCAATTTGCTTTTGCACTTTTTTTTACATTTATTAATAAGGGTGTATCATCAAACCACTCCAAATTTTGCTTTCTTAAAAAAATTTCCACATCACCAAATTTAAGACTATAACATAAAGTCCCTGGTTCTTTCTACTCATCAGAATTACCTGAGTATGCAGAAGTTCTTCTTGAAGCTGGTCAATTTTTTCTTTGTCTGTAACCTAAACATTTAAAATAAATTAATTTTATTTCCAGAGAAATGGATTTATGTAAAATGGGCACTACGTTAAATTTTTTGAAAAGTATTTTTGAAAATAAATACTGACTTTATCTGCATATTTGATCAAAGCACATTTTAAATCAAGTGATTAATGAATAAAGTAAAAAAAACTATATTCACTACAATTGCTCATCAAAATTTCATAACTGTATTCATAAGTAAAAGCCTTAAAAAGCAATCACTTTCAGGATGCTATTCTAGTGATTTCTGATGAATGAGTTGTTATAAAATGAAGAGACCAACACATGGTCACTACCATTTTCGTAGGCTGTTTTGTTCTCAAGGACAGGCATTTGATGCTTGGAGAAAAAGGGCACAGATACCTACAGAATGTGTTCAGGGAACTTATACAGGCTAGGCTATCATTTATAGCTACTGACGAAATTCATTGGTCATAGTGATATTTAAGCATATATTACGCCTTTCTATTCTATAAGTAGGGAAGTATTTAATAAATGCAAAGACCCTGTCTTTTCAGAGCTTTACGTGGAGCCTGATGCTGGTTTTTAAATTCAGTTCCAGTACAAGATCTGCTAACCCATAATACAGTGAATGCATCAGTAGCAATAAAGTTGAGTAAAGCAACTAAAATTGATTGAAATATAAAACAAAAGTAGGATAAAATCTACAGCTATTGTGGAAACTACTTCCAATTGTTATTAATGCTGATAACTCTAAGATAAGATGCCCCAAAACAACATAGAACTTTACTGCATTATCAGACTATAGTCACAATACAATTCTAAATATGAAACGCAATGATAAATTTTAATTAAAATGATGTCAATTATGGCAAATCCATGTAACTGTGCTTTGACTCCTTGGTGAGGTAAAGTTGCCATACTCAGTCTTTGAAAAGAATGATCTAATTTCTAATAATTAAAACTTGTAAACATGAATTTATTTCATAGGAGACAAAACTCAAGGTAAAATTCATGTAAGTCCTTGTTCACTTTCATTCAATGGCTATTCAAGCAATCAAGATATCATGGTAGCAAATATATACGAAAAAATTTTAAATGATTTGCTTCTTGAGGTAGATATTAGTAACTCTTAATCCATACAATAAAAACTTACTTTGCAGTTTTAATTCCTATTTCCAAATACTTTCCCAAAATAATCCTGAAATTTCTTGTAAATAAAAATGACAATGCTTGCTACAAATGGTAAGTATATTATTTTTTCCTTAAAAGTCTATGCCTAAAAATCTCCAAATGTGATTCAGTAATTAGAAGAAAAGAGAATATAAAACAAATTTTGTATTGCTGTTTTCTCATTCTTATATAGCAAGCAGACACTTATGAAGAGAACTTTTCTCATTTGATTGTGTTTGTATAAAATGGACAAGAATTATTAATAGTCGCCTAAAATGTGAGGAAACAAGCAAGTTGGGGAGGAACCAACAACCCAAAGAACAAAATCTTGAAGACCAATGAAGAAATAAATTCTTCCATATTGTTTTCATGTGGCATGCCATCATACTGTAATAATGCACTCATAAAAATGTTATGCATATTAAATTCCCAATTCATTTTAAAAGGTACTTGAATTAATTCTGTTCCATTAAATGCTCATCTGACACTAGCTAAATTATTATTATGAAATTATATAAACAGTATTAGCATAAACTGTTTTAGTTTTGAATGTGAATATTTCATGACTTCATGCAATATGTCCTTAATTACAATAGAAAATCCAGTGTTAGTCTACATCTGGGGCAAGAGTTAAGAAACTAATACAATTACACAAAAAGTTAGAATGCTTACTGTAAGCCAAGGACTATAAAAGGCTAACTCGGTGATTTGGTAAAATAAAAAGGGTATATAAAAGGTTAAAAGGATATAAGGTTACTAGAATATTACAAATAACAATCTTTATGCTAATATTAGAATTTAGTAATGATGACTGTTAAGATTTTTATAAATTCAGATTTTTAGGAGTATTTAGATTTATCACTTGCCCTTTCTGGCGCAAGTGTTAGGCATGACTCATGCACAGTTTTATCAATATGCTTCCTATCTGCTTGGTTTAATGGAACATCAAAAGTAACATCGTATTAAAAGACAGGTGGTGGTGGAGTCAAGAATTAGACCTCACATTTTCTAGGAAACAAGATGAAAACCTTTAGGTTTACAAGATAAATATTAAAGATACCAAGAAGATACTTTTACATATTTTCTTAAGGGAACAGCACATGCTATTTTTCACATATCACTTATTCAATATCTTAACTGGCAGTCAGTATATTTAATGTTGATGCACTTTGCTGGTAAAATTCAGCTACTTACGACAGGAGTTCAGTTCTTGCCCTGTTGTTTAACATACTGTTTGCATTATGAAATTTAAAACTCACCCTGACAGAAATGGGTATCAATGGTCTTGAAACCAGAGCTTTTCTACAATTCCAGGGCTGTGAAACTGATGGAGAAAGAGCGGAATCCTCCGCAGAAACAAGCTAAAGCTGAAAGAGAAAAACCTTTACTAGCTCCTCACAAAACGAAGCCTGATTTTTAAATTTTAATTATTTCTTCCTACTAAGCCATTGCGGCCATTCTGAAATAGCAAAATATACATATAAGGGACTCGCAAACATTTCCATGTACGTGTACGCCCCTGCATGAGCTACAGGGACAGTTTATTAGCTGCTACTATAAAAAATGAAGGCCTACTTACATTTCAAGAAGGTAAGGAAGGATGATTAAAAATCAACAAAAAGCTGTGGCTTTGTACCTCAAGAAAACCTCACACACCCAGAGGAATGCTATAAATCTCATGAATTAGGATTGGGATCATGAGGACAGTGAAGGGCTGAAAAGTCACCTGTGTACCAACTACAGGGGGAATCGGGGGAAGATGCAGTAAGGAGTATGACATCATCATAGAAGAGCAGGAATTGCTTTTAAAGTTCCATTTACTTTCACACAACTCCAAAGTGGGTCAGACTGTTTGGTGCTCTCCTAAGTATGCCTTAATAAACAAAACAGACAGAGGTACAGTCCTATCAGTTGCTATTTTACAAAAGGGGGAAATGAGGAATAAAATGGTTAAATGAATAATCTGAAAATATCAGAAATTAAATGGTATCACTAAACCTGAAAGCAGGCTAGAAAGCAGGCCTCAAATGAACATCAAACTTGGGCAATGTAGAAAACGAACATTATTCACTACTAATATCCCTTAAAACATCAGGTTCAAAAGTATATTGATAATCTTAAACTGTATCTTAAAATCTTAAAATGGAAGGCAGATCTATGGGACTCATTTCAAATTCTTTTACCATTATGAAAAAACAAGAACAACTTGCAGCTAGAGCTATCCATATTTCTAACTAACATACCAGAATATAGTAGTTCCTTTGCCTTCTTTCTGTAACAAAGCTAAGGAACAGATGGTTGGCTTTAAGCATCCAATTTGTTAGAATATTTAAATGGCACTTCAACAAAATACAGAACAGAGAATGCTAAAGCACAATTTAAAATACGCCCTTCCTTGGTTTAACACATCTACTTTAACTTAACCAAACAGGAAAATAACTTATTTTCTGTTTCCACCTATGTTGTTCGCTCACTGAAAGCTAAATATACAGGAGTTGATTCCACAGCCCTGGAATTGAGAAAAGCCAGGAAGTGACACTGAAAAGATAAATGAAACTATGAGGCATACTCTCAAATATTACCATCACCAAATGCAATAAGGTTAGTAAGCAAATTTATTGCATTCAATCGTTATCTATAGTATTGGGTAACTTCAGTATCAGAACCTACAGGAACCTAATTAAATGGCTGAATTTCTTTTCCTGAATAAAATCTGTATACGACTTTAAAACTTTCCTGATCTAATATATGCAACATAATTAAGCTGATGTTAAGATCTCAGAATATAACTTTAAAATCATTACATTCATTGCATTTTGACTCAAGCCCCTTCAGAACATTAACCTTGAGATCTACACCATAAGATCATGTAGCAGCTGAAAGCATACTTTTAAGGACTTCTTGACTGTACCAATAACCAAACATTTATATAGATTTATGCTGACTTTTATTAGAATCTGTTTTTTAGCAACCTCAATTATATCAACTTTCCAATGTTCAATCCTTCAGTCATCCGAGGTGAAAATTTATTTGTGCTGACTTCACAACTGTGGAAAAACTTAATGAGTTGATCAAGGTATATAAGAATAATTTTGCCCAAAATTTACATCAAAACAGTTTTCTTCTGTAAGAAATAACAGTATTTTCTGCTGATTCATTTTACTAAGACTATAATTTTCATTGTTTAAATAATTTAAATTGTGGTCATCCACAGTAATCCCTTACATTTTAGAAATGAAAACTTGGGAGAACCACAGATAAGTGGGCTACAAACCTAGGATGACTCAATAACTGGGCCAAGTAAATCACAATTCATAATTCTTTTCTAAATACAAATCCGTGCTCCCTCACAGATCATCTCATTTCAGAAAATAAATTCTATGTTTAACATTTTGGATTTGCTTATCCACTCTAGGAAAGTTACATATTTGTATTATATATCTTTCAAATTTTTATTGTGTCAAAAATAATTACTCATAATTGGAGTCCATGAAGGTATTAAGATGACATGATCTTGGCTGAAATGGCTGATTAGTGTGAACACATCAGTAGCCCCCTTAAACCATCCATCACCTTGCGCTTCTGTTGGGCATAGCTTGTGCTATATTGGCCAGCGGCTCTGCGCGCTTCCTCTTCATGCTCTTGAATTTGCTGTTGTAAGAGAATGAGCTCACCAAGCAGACCCTGCCATGAGTTTACAATGAGGAGAAGAGGAAAATTGGGGAGGAGAACAATGTTAAACCAAAGGGCACAAGCAAGGAACAGATGTAAGTTAGGGAAGAAGGGATAGCTTACAACAAAAATGGAAACACGTTTATGTACCTTTAGAAAGCCACCATATAATAGGGCTCTGTACCACGTTTCCATTTTCCCCCTCAGTAAAATTAGATGTCTCAGAAATATAAAACAGCAGGGTTTAAAAAGTGAAAAGAAAATGCAATGTGGCTGTCGGCTGAACAAAGTGAGCCAGATGTATAATATTAATATACAGTAAAACCTAGACTAACTGGAATGCTCAAGGAAAGTGGCATTGCAGTTAACAACTGATTACCTCAACCCTTAGTTCTGAATTGCCAATATGAACTAGTGTATGCTCCTGACTTGAAACATAAGGGGGAAAAAATCTGTTAATTGTCAACCATAATTCTCATAAAACTGAATGGAGAATACATCATAGTTTAATTATTAAATTATTATGTATTTGTTCTTTGATATCTGATGTCTTCAATTAAAGACCATAGCCCCTCAAAACTATTAATTTGAGTTTCCAAGCATCAAGTTAATCAAGGTTTTACATTAATTCATATATTCTACATGCCTATACATACAAGCTTATCTGACTAAAATTTAGTTGTTTTTTTGTTTTGTTTTTTTTTTTTTGCAAATTAACAAATAATGTTTGAGGCACTGTTTTAACTTTATACAACATAAAATAAGCAGTCTGACTGAATTTTCACTTTTTATGAGCTGTTTTGACATTCAGTAAAAATAGCCTCTAAGAATATATCAATTACTAGAGCAAAAGCACTATAAAAGAACATAGTTAGGATTTGGAAATAATACAGTTATTATGAAAATTTAAAATGAAACAAAACCTAGTTTGGACCTGTGTACAACATAATCAACATTTATATGTTTATAATTCATTCCACTTAAAAATCATGACATGCTAACTAATGTAATTTTTATCACAATGTATTTACATGTGGCAGAATACCCAATACATGTCATTTTCTGTATAGTATTTTTAATTGCTGGCCTATTAGATAATAGCCCTCAAGAAATGACAACAGAGAAAAAGACAACAAAGAATTGAAAATGTCACAAGCCTAATATTTTCTCAATTAGACACCTCAGTGAATGAAGTCACTATTTAATCTGCACAGGAAGAGTGTTCTGGGAAAACAATGAACTCAATTTTTACCAAGTTATAAAAATAGAAAGAGCTAGGAAAACTAATACTCATTAAAATAACCTACATTGGGAGTTTCAAATAGCTTCAGAGCTTTTTAAAATAACTGCCCAAAATATTACATTTTATATAATACAACTAGGAAGTTTCTTGAAATACTGGTTAACATTACATTCAAATTTTAATTAGTAGACTCATCCAGGGGCTTAATAACTTACTTTATTAAGCCAAAGACTTCTATAAATAAAAGTTTTCCAGAAAAGAAGCAAATACAAATAGGATAGGTACTATTATAGTAAAGCATTTTAAATTAAGGGAAAGTATTAGCATATAATTGGGGAATTTTTGTTTGACTCTTAGTTTTAATACATTAGGCCATGCCAACAATAATGAAACTGGATGACTTACTATAAATCAAAGGATGAGACTAGTTGATATTTCTATATGACAAGTGAGAGAACATCAAAATGGCAAGTAACACAACTGAACTGTCAACATGTTTCCAAATTCAATAGCAGAAAATGTATTTATAAAAACCTGTGGCTACCTTTAAAGATATCTCTTTTAAGTTAATACTTTATGGTCATTGATACATCTATCAAAGAAAGACAATGCCAACTGACTACCCTCATCATTTACCTAATTATCTGTCATTTTTTCATTTTCTGTATCATTGCTTTTCATGAAGCAGAAAGAAGAATAATCCAACTTATTTTTAGTCATTTACCATAACAACTTCTAATCATCCGAGTGTTTAGATGTCTCAAATTAATACCCTTTTAAAGGTTTCCTGTGCTGGCTTATATAGTAGTGTACCTAGGCTTTAATTAACATACCACCAGTACTCTATAAGATGTCAAAGTAGTGAGCAAATATTCCACATTTCTTAACTATGCTTGCTGGTCTATCAGGTACAAGATTTTTTTTTTACTTACAGCTTAAACATCCTTCCCTAATCCATTGCTTCTATCTACATACAAATTATATGGCTAATACTTAATATCTATTACATTATAAGAAAACACCCTCTTTCTAGTAACACTTCACTTTCCTTCCAAGTCTGTTACTGAAGCACTGTTATGTGAAGATAGCTGAAATTAACTGTTACCTCCTAAAAAAAGTAGGAAGAAAACAAGAATTAGACACAGAGAAAACTATTCACACTATATTACATGACTAAAGGAGGTTACCTCTATCCAATTTTGGACATCAAATCTCACCCTAAATACTGAGTGATGGGCTACAGGCTATACAGCTTCTGAGCTAAGGCCATGTGGAATAAGGAAGGGAAAGAAATGTGTGTAACTGCTATGCAAGACACATTCCTTAAACAGACAAAATATAATAAATATCTTCCCAAGCTCAGATAGTTTTCTCTCAAGAAACAGCATGTAATTATGTTAAAATCATATACATTAAATATAAAACATAGTAATTGTAAATAATGATAAACAGTAAAAATAAACAACGAACAACTACAGATGATACACTCTCTCAAGAGTTATTGCCAATTTGACACTGCAGCTCTTCCAGTCTCGTATTTCACGTACAGTATTGTCAGACTTTTAAAAAATTATAACATCAGGTCAAGAAAATCAGTGATAACTCCAAAAACCAAAATATCAACTGAATACGCTGTGAAAATCTAAAAGTTAATGAGTTTGATAGGAAAGATTTTAAGACACTTTAAAATTATTTGTCATTTATATGTGAACACATTTAAGACACTATATTTTTAACAGTATTTTAAACATTAGAGCAGAGCTGGACCCTTATCCCGTTCGTATGTTTATGTAGCACCTAGAATAACGTCTGACACTTTAGGTATGTGTTACAGCTGATACCTAAATTAGGGCTGAGCACATGTTTGCTCCTTGAATGAATCAAATTATGACCTACTTTTACCTAATAATGCACACAAAGTTTCCAGTATAAAATCCAAATTGGGTTTTGGAACAAATGTGTATTCTGTAAATAAGCTACACATCAGCCCGCTGATCTATTTTCCCAGTTTTCACAGTCCTCAGAACAGACTCCACGGAAATTACGGGGAGGAAATTAATCAAATAATGTTAATAGGCAATTAACTGATGGAATAATTCAAATTGTAAGGTAATAAAGATCATGGTCATCAACATCACCTTAATTTTTATTATGTGCAGATTTTGTGCTAAAGGGCTACAAAACTCTCAAAACAATCCTATCCAGTAGGGTTTCCCCCTTCTACAAAAGAGGAAATCAGTAACTCAAAGAGTTTGATCTTTTTCAAGATCACCTAGCTCAGAAAGCAGGAAGGACAGGATCTGAATGCAGACAGTGTGACTACAGTTTACACCTGATACCATCCTGTTGACACGATGGTCTAGCTATTTCCAAAGTGGCTTTGATCCCATCAGGTTCAATCCACATTTAAAAAAAGAAAATGGTAACAGTACAACACATCAGAAGGCATATTTGAACTACTAAGAAGATGGGCTGCCTGAATAGTCCACAGAGACCTTAAAGCCTGCAAACGTAAGATACCTGGCCCTTTAAAGAAAAGTGTGCCGGGGCGCCTGGGTGGCGCAGTCGGTTAAACGTCCGACTTCAGCCAGGTCACGATCTCACCGTCTGTGAGTTCGAGCCCCGCGTCGGGCTCTGGGATGATGGCTCAGAGCCTGGAGCCTGTTTCTGATTCTGTGTCTCCCTCTCTCTCTGCCCCTCCCCCGTTCATGCTCTGTCTCTCTCTGTCCCAAAAATAAATAAACGTTGAAAAAAAAATTTAAAAAAAAAAAAAAAAGAAAAGTGTGCCAACCCTGCTTTATTAGTTTTAAAAGTAACTTGGGTCCAGAAAAGAACTTTATGAAAGTGAAGACTTCTTTCCCCTTCCATTCAAAAATACTCCTAGGCATTAAACTACTTTTCAAAATTTGAATAATTCTATTTGATTAGTTAAAAATAACTATTTTCTGGGGCGCCTGGGTGGCGCAGTCGGTTAAGCGTCCGACTTCGGCCAGGTCACGATCTCGCGGTCCGTGAGTTCGAGCCCCGCGTCGGGCTCTGGGCTGATGGCTCAGAGCCTGGAGCCTGTTTCCGATTCTGTGTCTTCCTCTCTCTCTGCCCCTCCCCCGTTCATGCTCTGTCTCTCTCTGTCCCAAAAATAAATAAACGTTGAAAAAAAAAATTAAAAAACAAAACAAAACTATTTTCCTATTTTTCCCCTCCCACTAATACATAACTCTGCTCAAGGTATTTATGGCCAACTGAAAAAGGTCAATTAATGGATAGCAGAAGGAAATACATCTTTCCATTTGGATCATCCACCTTGCTTCAGTTCAGAAATACCATTTCTTATTTTAATACTTGGACAATTTCTACAATGGATAATTTTGAGATGAACAAATCAGTCTATTACCGATAGTTACTATCAATATTACAACTTCTGCCAAATCCCTTTTGTTCTAAATTGTCACCTAAAAACAGTATTATGTACACAGTATATACTTACTTAATGTTTCTTAAATGACATAAAAGCACAGTGTGCTTATGAAGCAATAAAGTAAGATTGCCTGGTTTGCCATTCCACTTTTTTTCAGGCAGATTTTCCTGGCTTTTCTTCCTCTGATCCCTCTGCCTCCCAACTACCACACTCTAGTGCACAAGTGGGTTGGCTTCCTGGCTAAGAGTCTAACCTAGTACAGTTGCTACTTAGCTGCTCAGGAAACAAGTTTACTGATCTGTGGTTACTTGATGATATTGGTTGTGAGAATTTCATTTTGCCCAAGTTACTACAGTATTTGTTGCATGAGGAGTCCTAGAAATGTAAATCCTACTTAAGCAACACTGCTTCATTACAGTTTAGAACACCAAGGACATGTACCACTGTCACATTCTTGTTCTCCTCAGTAGGTGCCCAATATCAAAGGCCAAGAGAAATTCACAGGTGATCAGATCAAAACACCTATTATATAAAATTTGGGGGCCTACCAGTTGGCATGAAGTTCATTTACTTCAATTAGCCTCTCTTTTGCTGTGTCAATTTTGCTAAAAGCTCTGCTTTATCCTCGGTGTTCTGAGGACAGAGATTTTATGACAGAAATAGGCCATTAAAGAATGTAAACCAAAGTAAATAGTGTTTCCTCTGGCATCTGTTTTCATTCTTTAGAGTATAATTAATGGAACTAAAATGGTTATGGAAGGCTTCACGAAGGGGACAACAGAGCCTAGGCTTTAAGGATGAGTAAAAATTAGAAGAGGGAAGACAGAGATTTCAGCTGGGAGGTACAAGAGAAATAAAGCCACAAAAAAGGAATTAGCATAACATGTAAAAAGGAAGAACTTTAATTACTGTCTAATAATTATATTTAAAATAATAATTCCACCCTTCATGATTTGGACTTTTAAAAGGTCCTTCAAATATTTTCCATAAACTATAAATGTATTTGTAATCTTCAGAATGACCATGTTGCTTACTTCTGTGAAATGTTCATGAGCTATCAGAAACATGATAAAACAAAAGCACAAATATAATGTCTCATTTAATTTTCACTAGAACAGACAATCTTACCGAATCTAAAACAGAAGATTCACTAAGTGGTCCTGTCACCTGTCTATGTTATGATCAACATAAGGAAATCTACAGATTTACAAATTATTCATTAAAATAGGCTCACCACTTCAATTTTCAATTTGCCTTCAGGTAGTTCTGAAGGTCTCCAGGTCTCAAGGATATTATTCAGTTCACGAAGGGCTCTAATATTTTTCTCCAGTGGACACAAATTTTAAAATTTCTGATTAACGAAAAACATTCCTTGAAAAGGGTTTTCAATATTTTTCCAGTTTTTAATTTACTGATAATACATACCAGAACTTCTGGTCAACATGATAGACATACCTACTGTCTACAAACTGAATGGATATAGATCCAGACAAAGTCAAAGAAACTGATGTTTATGGTAGCTGGTGCAATATTACGCAGAAATACATGTCTTCTGCTTTTTTAGACTTTCTGAAGACCTCAATTACAACTTTTCCAGAGTGCCTAAAAGTCTAGTGACCCCAAACTGGGAGCCACAGGTAGTCAGGTCACAGTGTTATCCATTCTGTTGGACTCAACTCAAACAATCTGACATGTGTGTGCTCTCAATTCTATCACTCTTGCTTCAGTTGACTTCGCAGGTCCTAACTTCTTCTATCTGCCCACACTCTCCACATGTGTTCTTCTATCAGAAAGGACAAATTTCCTTTTTTAGTTCTAGTTGTAGAAATGTTTTCAGTTTATTACTTAAAAAAAAAAAAAAAAGAAATCGGATTCACATTTACTTTTACATTTCTAGTATAAATCTGGCCAGAAATTTTGGTACAAACCAGACAACCATTAAGCTAATGCATGACTGCTTAGTGTATTCAAACTCTAAATACCACCTTCTATCTGGGACTCTCAGACAACATTCTGAACCATCAAAAAAGTATCAACTAATCTCTGGATGTCATCCTACCACCTGTGACTACTACTCAAATTTTCAAACTTAACATTTTAGAGTAATTTCAAAAAGACTTCTGCGAAGAAAGTCTCTCCTTCCGTGCTCATATTCAGCCATTAATTTGTAGACAAGTCTACTAAAGTCAGTTTATTTGCATCTTGCCTGAGTGGTTCATCATCTTCAAGTATTACAGATAAAAGTCAAGCCTTGAAACACATAATGCTGCACATTAACAGAATTTAAAACCACTAGTTGAGGCTGGAAATACTTTTCTGTATAGTAAATTTTTATACTAGCATTGACTACAATTTAACTTAGCCTGTATTGAAAACAGCCTAATTAAAACTCTAGATTTAGTAATAATTGCTAGGTTTTTAATGGGCAACATAATCATCATAAAGTATGAAAAGTTAAAAGGAAATAGTATATGAGGGTATTTACCTTCAAGTAAATTATGAAATAAAGCAATAAATTTGCTTTCATGTCTACTGTATAAAATAAAATCTGTGAATATAATTAAATTCCCAGTGATCCACTCTATTCTATATTGCAGAGCTACTCATCATTTGTCAAGTATTCATTCAGCACTTTAGCAGGATTTTAAGGAAATTATGTGAGTTAGACCCTGAAACAGGTTTCTCATTCACCAAAGTGATCCTAGACCATACCAGAGAATACCAGAGGCAGACCTCGCCTACTTTATCTAGGCAAAAAGAAACCACACCGCTAATCCTATAAGAGAGCTTCCTTTCCCCCTTAGATTAGTGCCTCTCTACATATAAAATCTACCTGCATTAAGGGCCAAGTCTTTGGTTTGAAATAAGCTGTGCATAATAGGCTAATTTCTATTAAAACTTTTCCCCCCAGTAGCATGAATAGTCAAGTGTTCCTTTCGTTAAAATGCCAATGGAGGGGCGCCTGGGTGGCGCAGTCGGTTCAGCGTCCGACTTCAGCCAGGTCACGATCTCACGGTCCGTGAGTTCGAGCCCCGCGTCGGGCTCTGGGCTGATGGCTCGGAGCCTGGAGCCTGTTTCCGATTCTGTGTCTCCCTCTCTCTCTGCCCCTCCCCCATTCATGCTCTGTCTCTCTCTGTCCCAAAAATAAATAAACGTTGAAAAAAAAAAATTAAAAAAAAAAATGCCAATGGAAAAGGTATCAACTTAAAAGGCAAACACATGTACACACATACACACACATTTTAAAATAAGTTTTCTCCAAAAGAAAGATCTAGTTAAAAGGCAAGAGAAAAATCTTTTGAAATACTAGAATTTAAACTTGGAATATCATATAAAAAGTTCAAAGATAAAGGACAAAGAGAGAGATGGAAACCTATACATAGGAAGTATTTTCTTTCCACTTTCAAAATAAACATAAAATTATTTCCTTTCAATTTACAAAAACCATAATAACTTTCAGTATAAAAGCTACATACTCCATACTTAATTTTTAAATGTTCATAGAACATGTTTTTCAAATATCTATTTACCTACATTTTTTTTAAGAAAAACTTGCAAGGAATCAGTTAACTTACCAATTCCAAAAGATGAAAAAATGAAGACTAAGAAAATGTCAAGTTAACATATGAATATAAATAGAGCAATGAATGTGTTATTTTAATTAGCAATTCTCCTAAAACTTTCATATGGATTTTAACACAACTATTGAAATTAACACACCCTAAATAACTCCAAACACAATTGCTATTAATGTCACAGAATCAATTTATCCCCTAATAACCCATTTCCTACTCCTTTAATATTTCCCTAAGCGTGTGCCATGAAACATTAGTCCCTAAAATACATTTCACAAAAAAGGGTTCTGTTGCTAAATAAATCTGGAAAACTCTGTAGTACACTTTGACTTCTCCTGGGATTTATAATACACATAAGTATGTGAGGTCTGAGAAATCCCAAGGAAAAGAAAAGCCTGCTTGTTTTATTTATATCAGCTTTCCCACACATATTTAACAACAAGACCCTTTGTTGAAGCCAATCCTTGAAACTAATATTTCACAACATATTTGAAGGCAATGGGCTTCTCCAATTATATTTCCAGAACTGTCACACAATACCTTTCACTTTGTACCAAGATTAACAACACCTCTACTTAGATGCTTTTATATTTGCTCCTCAGATGTTACCATTTTCATACCTTTCATGTAGGTGAAAACTTTTTTTAACTTTCAGACTACCTGTGTGAAGAATTCTCCCTTATACTTACCTTTCTATAATGCTTGTCACTTTCAGATCCGTGATCTGTTGCTCTGAATGCTGTTTCTCCAGGTGAACCTTAAAGATAAATAAGCAGTCCTTTAAATTCTCCAGTGATATCAACAGCCGAAATTCCAAATTACGTCTAATTTAAAGGCAAATGGACTTTTATAAAACCCACTTTTTTGAAAAAAACTATTCTTATTTTAAGGAACACATTGATAACCTACACAAAAAAAACCTTTGTAAATATTATAGGACATGTTTAACCTATTTAAAAACAAATCACTGAAAATTACAATTAAAAAAGACAATTTCTGATGAAGATAATTTTCCAGGAGAGTACTTACAGTTCAGTCCTATATCACTGCCGTTACAGACCACATATGGTAACAAAATAAATTTAAAATGTCAAAGGGTGACAGGACAGATGAAACAAACTAAAATTACTTTTCATTTCAATTATCAGAAATGATCAGATCAATTTCAAGAAAATATTTTGGTTAAACAAACTTTCTTTTTAATACTTTTAATCTTATAGAAACGTATTTAGGAATTTTAGTTTTACTGCAAGATAATTATTTTATTATTTTCACCTGTAAGATAAGGAATTTGCCCAATAGAGTTCTGGAGTTTTAAAATTCAGCATAAGCAGCATAAATTTGGTCTGCAATTTATTTGCAACTAGTTTATTAGAAGCATTTAAAAGGCATGTTAAGGTCAGCAAAAATGTCTGTTTACACACCTAACAAGAGAAGTAGGTCAGAAGCTCCTATGACTTCACTAACCAATTTGTGACCTGTGAAAAATCAGCAAAAGGGGAAATAGAAATGTAAAATTTGACAGGAATGAGCAAACAAATGTCTGAGATCTGAGTTATATCATGATAGGGTGTGAGTTGGGCAAATACACCAAGATCAACCTTAGTAAATTCTACTCATTACGGCCCATCATAATTAAATTTGTTTTAAAATCACCAAATCGGTTCTAACCAATTATGAAAAGCAAGCACATAGGAAGTCTAACCTACTTGTCAGGAACAAGAGATCGTTTTTTTCCCTCACTGACTAAAGCCAAGTATGTTTAACCTTACAAATTTTCATTTTGTTGCACTAACCAAAATTTAAAACCACTGAGCAACAAAACTTTGTGTATCTGTTTTTTCAAAAATTTGTTTTTCATTTGTACTAGATGTTTTCATTTAAAAGATACAAATAAACAAATGAATACATCTTAGTATTTTTCCTCTGGGTCTTCTGACATTTTAAGTGAGATCAAACGGGTCCTTCCTTACCTGTGGTGAAAAAGTCCTTCAGTAAACTGAGGCTTTCAACAATTTTATCAAAGTCAGGTGCCAATTTTGCAAGGTCGTCTGAATTAGGAAGTGCTTTTCTAATTTTCTCTGGAGAACAAACAAAATTCTCAAAATAAGAATTTGACTATTAAAACACTGACAAAATAGAAATAATCATCATATATAAACTTAAAATATTTTTCTATTTTTCTCCCTATTACAACTATAGTTGTATCTGAAACAATATGTCATTGTGATGATATTCCACAGGCCATGAAATGTTTTTAAAAAGAGTCACCAGATGTATGGCTTAGATGGAAACTTTTCATTTATAAGTTAAATGCCAGGAACTATAAGCACTGTATTAACAATGTTAATGCTGTATTGGAATCAGAAGTACTTTTAAGGAGAAAGTCACAGCAAAGAGGCCAAGAATCAAAGAAAATACAGAAAAACACCTCTTGAAACACCTGGTCCAAACTCGAAGACAGTGATGAAATAAAAAATAGAATTCCATTACTTTTTTCCATCCTTTCACAGACCCTAAGAAAATTCACACTTGTTAACATTTGGAAATAACTGTCTAAGAACCCACGGCAAACTTCGGTTTTATTTTTGCTGGTTTTATTTATAAAATGGTCAAAGTATTCATTTTTGTTTACGAAAATTTTGACGCTCAATTTTGTCAAAGTTTGGTACAACAGTACAGTATCTTCTAAATTAGAATGCGCTTTTCTTAATTTTCTCTGCAGAGGACTAAAATACATAAATATTCTCAAAATAAAGAGTATGTCAGATATTATTCTAAATGCTGTTACGGCACTCCCCTGTTTAATCCTCAAGGCAGCCCTACAGAACAGTTATCATCAAACCCACTTTACAGGTGAGGAACTGGGGCACTGAGGTTAAGTAGATGAGCCTGCACAACAGCAAAGAAGCAGGGAGTCAGGCTTGAGGCTGGCCAGTGCAGCTTCAGAACCCGACCCTAAGCCCCACACTGTGGTGCTGGCAAATACATCAAGGTAAAAAATCTCCTCACGAATATTAGAAAAACATGGAAAGAATGCTACAGATTCCTGCAGATCCCTCTGTCAGTGCAGCACGGTTTTATCTTTAAGAGCTGTAAGTGCATGTAGAGAGTAATTCCACCCCCATATGCACCTAAGAAATTAAACAAACTCTAAAAAAAAAAAAGACTGAGGAAAGTAATTCCATTAAAAGAAAATTTTGTTTAAATCATCATAACATACTGGCAATCAGAACTATCAGATATACTTTTTTCTAATCTACCTATTATAGAAAAAGGTGAACAGTACCTGACTATGGCAAGAAATTATTACAGACTCTAGCGGGCTTTGAGGGACTTGGCTACAAAAAGTAGAAGTCACCAAGGTATCCAATAAAAAGTAACTAGTGAGGTGGGTTATGGTGCATCTGCTCTGGGTGAGAATACAGAACACTGAAAGTGATGTTCAGAGAGGCTGCTTTGGCTAACAAATGTGTTGGGCAGGAAAAGAAGCCAAAGTATATACTGTTGCCATATAACTTTTAAAAAGGAAACTAAAATAATAACCACATACACAGACTAGGTTCAATTAAAAGAAAATGTCCATGAGGATAGTAGTAGCTATGTGAAAGTGATGGGCGAAGGGGTTATTTTTTTTCTACCAGTTTTTTCTTTGATATTCTATTACTTTTATCATTAAAACTGCTACACAGTGAACTCATGAGTTAAGAAACTATCTCAATACCACTATTTCTCTTTCCTGAAGATATGACCAAAAAAACGTATTTTAACGTTGATGATACAAACCTAAATCAATATACTCATCAATCTCCCACACAATGTCAGGCACAATCCATTTATAGTCACTGAGGTCAGGTATCATATCTTTCCACTGATCAAAAGTCTAAAAGAAAAGAAAATATGCCAATCGAATGTTCTGAATGTCATACAAAAAATAAAGAAAAACCACCTTAATTTATCTAATTAAAACATGCTAATCTACAAAGAGCGATACATTATGGTCAAAATTTTTGGAAACAAAATAGCCTCAGTTCCTTTGAAAACAAATTAGTAGGCAAGCGTATAGAACATGTAAGCATCCTTTTACTAAATATGGAAAATGTAAAAATTGAAAATATATTCTTACTTCAAATAGGCTTCATGATTTACCTAAACAATACTGTGGAACAGAAGAAACACAAACCAGGGGTCAGGACACCTTGCCTCTGCTCCCAAAGCTGCCCCAAAGTGGTTGTGTTAGCATGACACCTACTTTCCTGTCTGTGCTACTAAGTGGCAAGCTGAAAATCAAAGCCAGGTGACCTCACCCCACCCTAGTGCTCCTTCCACTAGGCCATTCTCACCTACTGTAATTATAACCAAGATTCAAAGAGCATTTTCCTATTTGCAACGTTAATTTAGCACATGGTAGAGATACACCATAAATTTTTAAATATTCTACTGCACTAAAGAAAAACAATTTGTGTTATAAGACCTTCAAATAATCATGCTAAAATAACTGGAAAAGCAGTGGAAAGTTCTACTCACTTTTTTGGCTGTATAGCCACCGCCAACAGCAGATCCTAGTATGAGATATCGAAGTTTTAAGAGTCTTGCAGCTAATCTCGCTGGCCAAAAATTCCTGCGAGGCTGGTAGCCATATTTAATTGGAGAAAGCTTCAATTTACGTAACGGAAGGTTAGCTAAAGAGGAGAACTGATGAAATGATGTCCGGAATTGGGGTCTTTGAAGCTTTAAGGTAGGATGATGTGAATGATAAACACTTCGTGAAACCAGATGCAGTTTTTGTAGTGGTAAGCTTCCTTTGATTCCAGAGCTACGTTTCACTAAGGATTGGCAGACCTCACTGAAAAGAAAACCAAAATGGGACAAAGATCAGACCGGGTAACAATGAGAAGGAAACGACATAAAAAGAGCAGTATGCACAAGAGAAAATGCACATGGGTGCATGTGACCAAGCACACGACATCATACCATAGCTTACATTAACCACTTACTCCATTTCCAGGCACTGCTGCGGCATGTGCTACCTCATTTAATCCTGCTAAAAATCCTACGATGAAAGTATTAGTATTACCTCCATCCTACCAACAAGGAAAAGATGGCACACACACACACACACACACACACACACAACTTGTCTAAGTGCACACTTATATGAAGATTCAAACCGACGCAGTGGGACTCCAGAGCCCTCCCTCTCATTTACTACATGCAGGCTATCCCAATCCAAGGAATTGAGATGAAAAGAAAAAAGGCAGAGACTTATTTTATTAACTGCTATTCACTGGCAGTAAAAGTGAAAACAAAATGAATGCAAACCTGCTTTCAAACACAAAAATTCCAGCAGCTTAGAACAGCTATTCTTTGGTCTCTCCTCTACGTCTCATGATCCTGAGACAGCCCAGGGATGGAAATTAAGGAAAAAATCATTACCACATAAAGTACCTGGCTGAAAGTTTCTGAGTAGAGTAAGTAAGAGTAATCAAACAGCAATGAAAGAAGGTTATTAAAGGCAACATCCTACAGACTGAATGTTTGTGTCCCCCCAAAATTTGTATGTGGAAGCCTAATCCCCAACATGAAGTATTTGGAAGTGAGGCCTTTGCGAGATAATTTGGTTTATTTGTAGTCATGGATGTGCCCATGTGTTGGGTGCCCTTATAAGGAGATGAAGAGCACAGATTTCTCTGTCATGTGAGGACACAGAAAAAAGATGCCCCCACCTAGGAACCAGGAAGTGATTCCTCAGCAGACATCAAATATGCCGGCACTTTGATCTTAGAGCTCACAGCCTCCAGAACTGTGAGAAATAAATGTTTTCCCGTTGAAGCCGCCCAGTGTTTGGTAATTTGGGGAGGAATAAGGCGATCATGTATCAGTTGCACAGATACAAGAGAAGACACTAAAGTGAGGTGGCAGCACTAAGAAAGGAAAGGGAAAGGCAGATACCAGAATGATGGACTAGACACAGGAGACAAGGAAAAGAGTAAATAGTAATCCTAAAGTTTTAGCTGGGAGACTAAGATTACTACACTTACAGATATAAAACAATCAAGAGCCAAACCAACTGGGGGAATAGCCCACGGCTTCGTAACACTTGGCTCAAACTTCTTTCAACCCTGTCCTTATAGCCAGCCACTTAGTGTTTTGAGTCAGATAAACTTTGGTTCCAGTTCCAGTTTCACTGCTTACTCATGTGCAATCAAGGGCAAATTATGAATTTACCAAAGCCTCAGTTTTTTTAATCTGTTAAAACAGGATTACGTCTACATCAGAGTTATTGTCAATAATCACTAATTCAAGTATCTTCTTCTCAGACCATAATCCCCTTCACTACAACCATCTTTGGCCCTATAGGAACAGCCAGGTCATGGATACTTCTATCTTCTCCCTAACCTATCAGCCTCCACCTTATCTATTTACCTAGTTAGCCTGGTTCATAGTCTTAAAGGCTCTTTTGCAAATACTCTAAACTCCCTTGCCCTCTGACTTTCTGTTACACTTGTTTGGCAATATGCAAACCCTGGATGAACCTTATTATCACTTTAAGCCTGTACCAAGGGAATGAAGCACTACTGAAGAAAGTCACACCCAATTGGACAGACATCTCAGCTAGGCCCTAAAAACAGCTTGGCCATCTTACTTTTTATCAATTCATTCTTCCACTCTCTGCTAGGACTATTTCAGATGTTCCCCACCCACCTCTACCCTCCCACATCTCTCCTTGTTTCCTCCGACTCTTGGGAGAAAATGGAAGCCATCAGAGGGACACAAGCTGTTGCTTACCTACCGCATTGACACCCACCCTCCTCCACAAGCCCTGTAAGATTACAGTAAGGAAGTACTCTTCTGCCTTTTAAAGGCAAATCCCTGTTTCCTCTGAATTCCTCCTTTCTTTTCAGGAATCACTAGTCAAGTCTCTGTCAGTTTAAAGGAGAGAAAGACAGACCCCAGTTCCCTGCTCTAGCTCCTCTATTAAAAGCCAAACCAACCTGATTTCCATTTGTCTCACTTCAGTGAAACAGCCCTCACCGAGTGCCCTGAAGGCTTCCAGTGGGCATTTGTTTTTTCGATTCGCATTTTCTTTGTCTCCGCAATATCTGACACCATTGACACCCCCTCCTTGTTGGAACGCCCTCAATCTCCGCAGTCTCTAGCTTTACTCCTACTCGCTGGCCACTCCTTTTCAGGCACCTCCTCCCCAACAACCTTTTAAATGTTGGGAGTTCATCGGGCTTAGATGTAAAGTCACTTGTCTTCTCAGTCTACCCATTCTTCCCAGGCAACCTTATCCACACCCATCTCCTCAACTGCCATCTGCATATCCACGTTTCTCAAAACTTGTACGTCTAGTACAAACAGTTAAGTTCCAGATCCTTGTGTCCAACTGCCTACTGAACACCACCCCTTAGATATCAAAGGAGTACCTCAAATTCAAGATGTTCAAATCCATGCTATCTCTCCTCCGTCCCTCCCAAACCCTGGCCCCCGTCCAGGACTTCCTATTTCAGGAAAAAGCACAAGCACCTATTCAGTCGCATAAGCCACAAACTTGGGCTCATTCTTAATACTTTCCTCATCCTCAAGTTCTGTTCATTCTACTTCCAGCATACATCTCCAGCCTTCCACTCTCCCATCTCCACTACCACCATGCCTCGCCTGGGCTTGCAACAACAGTCTGGACTGAGGTGTTCTCCACAGCACAACAGGGCACTCTTCTGAAATGTCAACCTGATCACTGTCACTCACATGGGTCAATCTCCCTCAATGTCTCCTCCTGCATTTAGAATAAAAATCCAAACTCCTGGTCTATAAAGCCCTGCCTCTCTCCCTCTAACCTCAGAGCTCTACCCAGACCAATGTTCACGTAGCTCCTCGACTGTGCCATAATCCTTCCCATCTCAGGGCCTTGATGCCCACTGTGCTTGGGCAAACCCTTCTACCTTCTTAACTCCTGTTACTCCTGTGAACTCTGGTCACTAATGGTTTCACCTCAGTATCCCTTTCTCTCCTGGCATCGACATTCTCACTCGAGTTCCTCTGCTACAGTTCTTAGTTCCCTGCACTTTTCTTTAGGGCACATAAAATTTGTTTAACATAATAATGTAATTATTGCATTAATATTTGTCTCTACTAATAAACTATAATCTTCATAAGGCCAGGGAGGGGTCTTGTCTGTTTTGCTTACCATTGTATTTCTAAAGCCTAGCCCAATGCTTCACAAGCAGTAGACACTTAATAAATCTGCTGAATAAACATATGTTATTGGGAGAACAAAACCAAAACAAAAGGTGAAAGAACCTAGCAATGACCACACAGTAAGTGCTCAATAAATGTCATTTCAACAATAACTGCCCTAGCCTCTACTAATGTACTCATGAGTAGTCCTTTATCCCTCAAAAGTTGTTTGCTTTTTTAAAGAAAGTAGTTAATCTAAATATATATCCAAATAGATAAACTCCAGACCCAAGTAGTCATATTGCTAAGATGTTTTGGCTTTTCGTTATTTTCTTCCTTTTTTATTCCCAAACCTCTAAAATCCCTGTTTCCACAATGGTGGCAACAACAGCTGTGGGTGACACCAAGAAAAAGGAGTATTTGGTTGTCCAAATCAGGAACCACATGTAAAATGTTCTTCAATCAATCCCCTGGAAAAGCTAATTGACTCAAAACAAAATCCTAGTACTTGGGAAGGTATCCTCAAGTATTATTTCCAGAGCTTCCAATTCATGGTGGTACTCTAAAAGATCAATGCTCATACAGGAGAGACTCTTTTCCACAAAAGGGTCCTCTTGAGATATAGGTAAGAGAGTAAAAAGAGGAGAAGAAATTGAGATTTACTGAAGCACCATCTGGGGAAAGGCTGTGTCACCCTCAGTCCAGTGCAGCTGAATGTTAAAATACGAACACTTGCCCCCCGGATGAACAATCTACCAGGGAGGAGCTAAAGCTCATGTGTGTGTGGGGTGCAGGGCAGGGAAGGTCTGGGAAGAAAAGAAAAACAGGATACCTACAAACACAGAGAAATCAGATTGTCCCAACAGTCTGTATTCCGTGTTCGTTGACAAAGGATGCCAGAAAAAAATGTGGTAGTGCCTTTACAGTTCTGAAGGAAAAGTATTTTGAATACAGACTTCTACATTTGGCCAAAGTGAAAATCAAATGTGATGCAAAGCAAGCTCCTCTGCTGCCCCCGAAACCATCTATTCTCTCTCCTCTACCATGTCTTTTAACCTATGCATCATTTCCTAATACATAATTCTCTTTTCAACAAGTTTACACAAATATTTATTGCACCTAAATATGGGAGTATGTATTTAGATATGTACGTCAAAAAATGTTTATGTTCCCATCTGTTTAAGAATGGGAATTCAGGGACACCTGGGTGGCTCAGTCAGTTAAGGGTCTGACTTCAGTTCAGGTCATGACTTCACAGTTTGTGGGTTCCAGCCCCATGTCGGGCTCTGTACTGACAGCTCAGAACCTGTAGCCTGCTTCAGATTCTGTGTCTCCCTGTCTCTCTCTGCCCCTCCCCTGCTTGCACTTGGTCTCTCTCTCAAAAATAAATAAACATAAAAATTAAAAAAAAAAGAATGGAAATTTAAGTGTACTCCTTCATAACACGTATTCTTCTTTGCAGAAGAAATACAGCAAAAGACAAATTTCAGAGCTGAGGCTTCTAACTTTCCAGATCTCTACTTCTGCAGGGTAGCTAAACTGCACTATCAACATAAGACACTTTTAAGCCATGACTTTGCAGAGTCTATAGTAACTTTAGAAATAATTTACCCCAACGACATCCACAAACAAATATGTCAGTTATTAATTAGTTGTTGTTAAGGTCAATTTTTAAAGTTTTCCTACATATCTTAATTGTTCCAATGAAGTATGCTATTTTTGGCAAAGTCTTTTCTCTTTTTATTCAAATAAAATTAGATAGGTTTCTCCAGGAAATAGTGAAGAATAGAAATAAAAAAGTAGTAAATAATCTACCGCAGTTATCAAGGGCTATGGATTTACTCAGAAACTCAAATTCCATTAAATTAGAAATAACTATTCACTTATTCTAATTGACTGTAACTGTTGTATGTTATCTGATTCTAAATATAGACTCAAATTAACCTTTATAAAACAAATGGATTCCATTCCTTATAAACACTATAAATTACCTACACTATTTAAACAACGTTCTGAAAAAAATTCAAGACAGGTGTTTGGAGGCTAATTCAGGAAAACCAAGTTTTTCCAACCTTAATTGATGCATATTACTTCTTCTCAAAAGCCTGCAACAATGAGTTAAGCCTGAAAGTATCTAAGGATATTAGAACACAAATATGTGTCAAGATAAAGTCAAATTTAAATCTCTTTAAAATGCCCCTAGTAACCCGCAGAAATGAAAAAACTCCTATGATTTTCTACTTAGGATTAAACGAGGCCAGGGCAAAAATAAATGTGATCAGAAAGCTGGTGCTATATTCACCACTTCGCATCCAAAGCAAGCCTTTCTCCCTAACACTGAAAAGCTGCTATTAACAGGGTATCTCTAATCACCACCTCGGCCACCATTTGCGTCACTGCTTCAGATCTGACTCCAAAGCAAGTCTAGTCTGCGGACGAAGGCAAGAGGCAGAGTCCTCTTTACCCTAGCAGAAGACAGAGTACCTGCAGGAGCAAGGCACACCTGGCGTGGAGGCAGAAGAAAAAGAGTTAAGAGGGACACGGCGAGGGGAGGGAGAGGGCAGAAACAAGAAGCAACCAGAGACAGAGATAACAGCGAGGGCAGAAAGGTGAAAGAGGACAGGGACAGAAGGACAACAGAGAAGGCCAAGACTGAAAGGAGCCCAGAATCTTCTGGCGGCACAGAAAACAGGCACAAGGGCCGGTACTGCAGCCGGGACTTCAGGTAAGCCCAGTCAGGGCTCCTGTAACTACGGGTCCTCAAAAATATCCCAGAATCCTCCAACCGCCCTCCGCCTGGCCTGAGAGTTAGGTGCACATTCTGGAGGTAGTGATGGGATCACCCGGTTTTCCGGAGGCCCCCCAAATAACGGGGCCAGGTCTGAGCCCGCACTTACCAAGCCACGGCGGCTCGGCGTAGTCGCCACATCCCGCCGGCGAGGAGGTCACACGGGCGCCGAGAGGGCCACGCCGGAGCCCCGGTGTCAGCTCCAGTCCGGCCCCTGCTCCAGGAGTGACCCAGGAAGAGGCCCTGGGCAACAAGGGCACAGAGCAGCTACTGCGGCCCTCCCAATGGCGCATGGACTTCCGCGAGAGCCCGCCCGGCACCCGTACTCTGTCCGTCAGGAAAATAAGCACCACCCCCGCCACGCTTCCTAGGAGGGCAGCACAAACGGTCCGTGGAGGATTAGTGCCTGCGCTCAGAGCCTCCAGAGGAGACAGCCGCATTCCGCCTCCCACCACCCCTTCCCTCCTTCTTTGTTTCCGGGTTGGAGTTACGAAATTGAGTTTTCCAGGTCAAAGATTTGGAGAGGTGAGGGGTTGAGAGTTGGGCAGGGACTGACAGGGTGCCGGGCGAGGAAACCGGATTGATAAATTCTCTCTGGGTGGCTGCCAATTTAAGAAAATGTAGGTATTTACGGAGCTTGGAGGAGCCTAGCGAGTACAAAATGAATACAGTAATAGTGTAATAGAATAATGAAAACCAACGGTTGCCCCACTCTTTGGTTCGGTGTCTTTGTTTATAAAACACTCTCAGAACAATCTTGGGAGGCAAGAGGAGTCATGGACTGATTAAGTACTTTAGAATCTCTGAAGGTCGGATCTGAGAAGGGCTCCGATGAATTAGACCAGCTGTGGGTTTGCAATAAGCTTGAGCAGTTTATAAAGGCATCACAAATGATTTTGTTTACTCTTTAACTGGCTTTCGTCTGACTTTAACTCATTTGTTGAAATGGCTTGTGTCAAGGCTTCCAACAATTCCATATTGTCAGTGGACACTGGACTTCTCAGCATTCAGCTCAGAAGCCTGGGTGCTCAGCGCTCTCCTTCTTTGTTGGCTTCCCTCTCCTGGTTTTCAGGACATAACATTCTCCTTTTCTGCTCCCCATTCTCCTTTGCTGGCTCCTCTCCCAAAAACTCTCCGTGTAAGAGGGTCCCAGATTTCAGAGATCCGGGGTCCCTTTCCTTCTCTATCTTCATTTTCTCCCTAAGTAATCTGAATCAATTCTAGGACTTTAAATACGTTTTCCCCTTACTACTCTTGTCATTTTATGAGGAAACTGGGGCCCATAAAAGGGATGTGACCTATGAAACGTAATGAAGTTATTTAGTGGCAAAACCAGGACTAAAATCAAAGGGCCCCCTCTTCACTTCAAGGGCACCCCCCCCACACACAAAATATTGAAAAATTCCTTTTTCCTTAGTCATCAGAATCCTAAGTCAGTATCCATCGATTCACAACAAAGCCAAGTAGTAGACCTAGCCATTAGCAGTAAACTTCCCAAATGCAGGACTCCAGGATTTTCTTTATTATATTTATTGTGGTAACTGTTTTAGTGACAGGTACAGATAGGAACTTGCTATACTGACCTACACAAACTGTAGTTTTTTCCCGGATTGTAGAGTTGTGCAAAAATTCCTTTGTTACTGTTGCTTCCTAGTTGTTTTAGAAAAAAATAAGAGAAACCAAACAGTGGTAACCTCTTTCATGTATGGGTTATCTTTACATTTCACAAGGCCCTTTTTTTTCAGTTCTACTTCTAGGCGTTTATCCCACTGAATCATTCCCACATGTGCAAAGACATACATGTGATGTTTATGTTTGCCTTGCATGTAATAACGAAAGGTTGGAGGGGGCACCTGGGTGGCTTAGTTGAGTGACTGAATTCAGCTCAGGTCATGGTCTTGCAGTTTGTGAGTTCGAGCCCCGCACCAGACTCTGTGCTAACAAGCAGCTCAGAGCCTGGAGCCTGCTTCTGATTCTGTATCTCTCTCTCTCTCTCTCTCTCTCTCTCTCTCTCTCTCTCTCTCCCTCTCCCTCTCCCTCTCCCTCTCCCTCTCCCTCTCCCTCTCCCTCTCTCCCCCCTCTCTCTCCCTCTCCCCTGCTCATGCTCTGTCTGTCAAAAATAAATGTTAAAAAAAATAAAAAATAAATGAAAGGTTGGAATCAGCATTGTTAAAAGATAAATTGAGGCATCTTAAAAATTGTAAGAGGTTATTTGATCAAAAATTGATTTGAATTCAGCAGTGCCAAGCCAGAAGTGGTTAGGAATGCTGCATCAACAGGAGTCAGTGGCAAGACTGACTATATCAAGAAGAAAGGGAAGCAAAACAAGGAAATTATTTGATTGGCTTTAGCTTTATGTGGTTGCCTTATTTGGGAAAGCCTCATTGGCTGTGATTGGTTGCCTTAGGTATGCTTTCTTAACCTTAATGTATTTATAGGCTTTAGGTTTTGGTTTGCTTAGTAGGCTGCCAAGGCGTTAGGACCAAATTGGTCTATATATTCAGCCCATTCTCAACATAATTTCAGCAGGCACATATTGTAGAAATTAACAAACTATTCTAAAACAAGGAACAAAACTAGAGTATTTACAACTATTTGACTTCAAGGCTTACTATTATAATCAAGACAGTATAGTATTGGGATAAGAAGAAACAGATCAAGGGACCAAAATAGAGGGTTCAGAAATAGACCTCCATTTGTACAGTCAATTGTTTTTTTGACAAAAGCACCAAAGCAATTCAATAAAGATGGAAGTTGTTTCAATAAATGATGCTAGAACAATTGGATATCTATGTGGAAAAGAATATACCCCACACATGCTATACATAAAATTTAATATAAATTTATATCATATACAAAAACTAGTATATACACAAAAGTTGTGTACGCTGGGACATATCCCTAAATGTAAAAATAAAAAGCTCTAAAGCTTTTGAAGAAAATAAAAAATATCCTTGCAACTTGGGAGTAGACAAAGATTTCTTACGTCACAGAAAGTAATACCACAAAATAATAAAATTAATAAATTTGGACTTCATCAAACTAAAGTACTTCTGCTAATGAACTAACACCACTGATATAATTTAACAGACAAGCATCACATTGGGAGAAAACATTTTTTAAATATATATCTGACAAAGTATACATATCCAGAATATGTAAGAAATTTTTGGAGCACCTGGGTGACTCAGTCGTTTAAGCATCTGACTCTAGCCCAGGTCATGATCTTGCAGTCTGTTAGTTTGAGCCCTGCCTCGGGTTCTGTGCTGACAGTCAGCTTGGAGCCTGCTTCAGATTCTGTGTCTCTCTCTCTGCCCCTCCCCTGCTCGCTCGCTCTCTCTCTCTCTCTCTCTCTCTCTCTCTCTCTCTCAAAAATAAGTAAATGTTTAAAAAAATGAAAAAAACTCTCACAACTCATTAATAAGATAAACAACCTGCTATCATTTGAATGTTTGTATCATCCCCCTACCCCTGCCAAATTCCTATGTTGAAATCCTAATGTCCATAATGTGTTGGAATTAGTGACCTTTGGGAGGCCTTAAATTATGTGAGTGGAGCCCTCATGAATGAGATTAGCAACCTAAAGGAGACCCCATATGGCTTTCTAACTTCTCCACCATGTGAAGTTCCAGCAAAAAAAAATTTATGAACCAGAAAGAGGCTCTCACTGACCAGAACAAGACCATTATATATATACATACATATATATATATACACACACATATGTATATACGTATATGTATGTGTACACATACATATACGTATATACATATGTGTGTGTATATATATATATGTATGTATATATATATGTATGTATATATGTGTATATATATATATATATATATATATAATCTCCAACCTCCACACCAGGTGTATGTGTATATATATATACCTCTATATCTTCTTTTGTGTAGTGCTTGCTTCAATTTTTAACTGGATTATGTCTTAGTCCATTTGTGCTGCTATAACAAAATACCATAAACTGGGTAGCTTATAAAGAACAGAAATTTCTCACAGTTCTGCAGGTTGGGAAGTCCAAGATCAAGGTGCCAATTACATATATATAATATATATATATATGTATATATATATATATTTATATATTTTATACATATATATAATCTCCAATGAACATATACAGTGTTCAATGTTATTAGTCATCCGGGAAATGCAAATTAAAACCACAATGAGATACCACTGTATCTTCACTAAAACTGCTAAAATTAAAAAAACTTTAGGCGAGGATGTGAGCCAACCAGAACACTCCGGCACTGCTGATGGAAATGTAAGATGGTATGAGCACTTTGGAAGAATGTTTGGCAGTTTCTTACAAAGTTAAATATACAGCTCCCCTTTTGTCTAGCAATTCCAGTCTTAAAATTTATCTAAGAGACATAAAACACAGGTGCACAAATAAGATTGTATAAAAATGTTTATAGCAGCTTTGTTCACAATAGCCAAGAACTAGAACCAAACCGAATGTGCATCAACAAAAAAATAGATAAACAAACTTATACAAGGAAATACTACTCAACCCAAACAGGGAAGAGCTACTGGATTTGTAATGACATGAATTAGTCTAACAGACATGTTGAAATCAAAAGAGGATGTTCCATTTATGGGAAAATGGATGTTGGAAGTGGGAAAGCAACATTGGGAAACTTTTTAGGAATATAGAGATAGATGTTCATATGCTAGGGGTCTGAATGGCTTGTATGTATCTGTTTATCATAATGTACAGCTGGGGCATCTGGTGGCTCAGTCAGTTGAGCACCCGACTTCGGCTTAGCTTATGATTTCACAGTTCGTGAGTTCGAGCCCCTGACATCACTGCTGTCAGCGCAGAGTCTGCTTTGGATCCTGTGTCCCTTTCTCTCTGCTCCTCCCCCTCTCTCTGCTCCTCCCCCACTTGTGCTCGCTCTCTCTCTTGAAAATAAATAAACATTTTTAAAATGTACAGCTAGGATTTGTGCATTCCAAGTTTCAAGTATGTGTACATGCATTTTATATACATCTCTAAGTTGATTGGGGAGGGTTGAAGTAGGTGGAAATTAGATGGGACAAGAGTGACCAAATGTGGATAATTACGGGAGCCGGATGGTAGGTCCACGAGGGCTCCTCATACTTGTCTGTTCACCTTGTACGTATTAGAAAGTTTTCATCAAAATAGCTGTAAAATGTATCACATACTTCTTGTCAAAATGATTCAGGAAGGAAATAAAATGCATTTCACTTTCTTGTTTTGTGGGTGTGAGAGGGAAGAGCAAAGGAGGAGTATGGAAGGCAGACTGTGTGCTATGTAGAATTTATTCCAGCTGTCTGTGTTTCCTATTGCTGCTGTAATAAACTACCCCAAATGTAATGGCTTAAAACAAAACAAACTTATTTTCTTCCTGTTCTAGAGGTCAGAAATAAGATATGGTTTCACTGAGATAAAAGCACAATGTCCACAGTGCTGCTGCTTTTTTTGGGAGCTCTCAGGGAGAAGTTGTTTTTTGTTTGTTGGTTGGTTGGTTTGTTTTGCC